CAGCCTGAAAGGTATTTTGTTGCTCCACCTCGATTCCTGGGCCTTGTGTGAATGCAGCAGCCGTTCGTCGTGCATCTCCTTGGCACGCAGGTCCTCATTCTCCTTGCTATCGGGATGTTAAGAGCATTCCATGGAATATAACAAAAAGTGTATCTCGAGCCGGTTTCTTAAACTTACCTACCCCATCTTTAAGTGACTTACATATACTCAATACTGTGGGCAATCCCCACAGGAGCAATTCGGGGTGAAGTGTTTCAGGGACACAACGACATGCTGACTGCAGCGGGGTTTGAACCTGTGACTCCCCTGATCCCAACACCAACGCACTAGTCCACTGCACAACGCACTAGGCCACTGTGCCACAGCCTCCCTATACCATGACTTCAAAAGAAATTGGGATACTATACTGTTAATTTTTTTTTATTACATACTATAACAATGACTATTTTTCTCACATTTCATCCTATTCGACAATATTATTTTATTTGTAGTATGACTTTTTCCTATTTCTATCCTGTTTTGGTAAATGGTGAAAATGTTTAGAGATCCTCCTTCACAAAGCTGAAGACTCTTAACTTCAGCCGTACAAAATACAAAAGAGACACTTTCACATTTCATTCACAAATGAGTAAAGACAAAGACAAAGACAACATCTTAAAGTTCAAACCAAGTAAAGTTTAATGTCTACAGAAAACAAACTGGTTTCAGTCGACGAGACAAACCATCAAAATCATTTCTGTTCTCATTTCTACCTGAAAAAATTACAAAATCAGACACTGGAAAATAGAAATGACACATCGTACATCCCGTGAAAAAAAACCCTAAAAGATGCACTTCATATCCCCCCCCCCCTCCTAGATAATATATTTCTGTCTGCCTGCACTGTACTTTCAGGCCAGCAGGGGGCAGACTGCACTCAGTTCATGCTACAACCCAAGGGGCACAATCAATTAATCTTTATTATCTTTGCTTCACATGCACAAACTACATACTTTAATACACTACGTCTTCAAAAACCTTCATCAATAAACACAAATTCATAAACTCTGCAGGTACGGACGCTTTAGATCAATGTGACGTCAAAATAAATGAGCCCTGCACTGTATTTTAACATGAAAATCATTGGTTCACATGTGTGAGCAAATCTGAAGTTAACCAGTTATTTAATTGTTAAGAAAATCAGATTTTTATATTATTTTTCGTTTTTTAAAGACACAAAAACCCAACGTAAATTACACAATGTATGAGAAGCTTTAAAGATACAGCTTTAGAAATAAAAATGGAGTATCATATAATCAAATATCACTACTTAAACTCTCTTAAAGTTGTAAAAAACACGTCTGATTTACACAATTCATACATTTTCCCTCCTGTTAACTCAATGTTTTCTAAAAAAAATATGGATAAATAAATAAATAAATGTTAACTGGTAAAATAAGATATAAATGAACCAGCAAAAATCTTGCCTAGGGCAGCAAATTGGTCAGAACCGGCCCTGGTGTCATCCCCACAGCACCCCCCATTCGAAACATGTTCCCGCGGCTATGTACAACAATACGCCCAAACTGCCCCTACTTAAAAAAAAGGACAGCTAGTATCTACCTCATTGTTTTGTTTTTAGAAAAACAAAAACTAGGTGTATCTTGTTCTTGTTCTATCAGATGTTTAATGATTCAACATGTTTTTACACTTTCCTGTTTAGATTCTGCCTCGTGTTTGTTCTCATTGGGGCGTATGGAACAACATGTTCTATTCCAATGCTCAATTGCTCTAGGTCGGATTTCCTACTAACGTAATAGACACTTTGGACATTTATTAATCCTAGTAGATTGTGAGTCATCACTAGGCAAGGCGAGGCAAGTTTATTTATAGAACACCTTTCAACACATAGCAATTCAAAGTGCTGTACACAAATATAAGACAATAAGATCTAACAACACTAACATGTGTAGTCAAATTTGTCTGAAAATGATTTAGAAATGTTGCTTCATTTGGATGGAAAATTTGCGAGGCGAAAATGTACCTCACTCTTAGTTTATGAAATCATCAACTCACTATATAAAAAAATGGAAATTGGCATCAACAGCACGAAAACAAAACCGGTTGCAACCATGTTGTCAAAGTAGCAGCAAAAAGAGCCGATGTGATGTACTGCCCGCTTGTTTGTTTGAGAGCTTGAACAACAACTGACAAGTGAAGAAATGCATGGATGAAATGTTGATGTGTGGTTCAGTTGCCTCGAAATGCATTGAATAAAAACTGATGATTATTTGCGATGCATTTATTTGAAGCAGTATTTTATTGGTGTTGCTGGTTAAGATAAGTATGATGTAACTATTTATAGACTAATATGTAGCTTTATCAATAATGCCGTGCCACATTTTATAAGCTATTTGTTTTGAATGTAAAGTAGTGAAGTGGGAGTTTAAACTAACAGAGATTTCATAAGTAGAGCAACTTCCTTATGCCCGGGCAGCCGAAAATATGTTTTGTGTGCACAATTTTGGGCCTTTGGGGACTCCGTAGAATCACCGCAGACAATTACATTTCAGGAAGTTACTTTGGAACTTGCATGTAAAGTTTCACGCTATTTTTTGCTAAATGAAAGTTAAAACGTTTCACTATCACTCATATCACTTTGTCTGATCTCTCTCTCTCTCTCTCTCTCTCTCTCTCTCTCTCTCTCTCTCTCTCTCTCTCTCTCTCTCTCTCTCTCTCTCTCTCTCTCTCTCTCTCTCTCTCTCTCTCACTCTCTCGCCCTGTAATGAGTTGATTAGTCTATCTCAGTCTAAATAATACAATTATGTTGGTGCATCATGGCATGTGGCTCATTAAAAAAAAGTACAGCTATTATCTACCTCTTGTATAACTGGTCGGCCCCACCTGCATTAGCACAATGGACGAAACAAATACATTAAAGTAAAACCACTTTCCAGCAGTCAGCAGCACATTGTAAAAGCTGTTGATACAACTGTTCACATTCATAATTAAGTAAAGATAACACCCTTTTCACCCCGGTTACATTTTCCATTTGCCCTGAGAGGCTCAGTGAGGTAAAGGACTCTGAGTGTTTAGATAGTTCACTTTAGTCTAAGTTATCTCAGTGTGTTTCAAACGGTTTTATCACAATTTATGTAAACAAATATTTCCAAGGCACACCTTTATAATTATTAGGATAAATAAAAACAGGTTTGAAATCATTCCAATGTCATTTCATTTCATTTCAAACCTTTATTTAACCAGATTGGTCCCATTGAGATCATAGATCTCTTTTTCAAGGGAGACCTGCAGCATATAGGTTCCACATGAAACATAAAACAATAAAGGACATCATACATTATATTTACAGGATACATTTACATAGTTATAGACATTTACAAGTACCCATAGTATCAACGAGCATTTCATTTAGCCTAGCTTTAAAAACATGCAGAGGAATGAGATTGCTCAGTTTCAATTCTTGCTGAAGAATGTTCCAAGCAAGTGGAGCTGCGCACATAAAAGCTGTCTTACCTAAGACAGTCCTTGCTCTTGGCACATGTATACTATAGGACAGTAAACCAACAATATCCTTTAAAACTGGAGGGATTCAAAAATATGGATGAATAAATAAATGTTAACTGATAAAATAAGATATAATTGAACCAGCAAAAATCTTGCCTAGGGCAGCAAATTGGTCAGAACCGGCCCTGGTGTTTGTAGCAAGTAGAGGGCTGCTGGCAGGCCCGGACTGGCCATCGGGAGGGCCGGGAGGTTTCCCGATGGCCTAGCGATTTTTTTTTTTTAATGTAGGCTATTGTGAACGTAACGCTGCGCAAATGTGGGTGTGCCTCACACAGGGTGACTGTCTGTCTACATGATGTGGCATCTGTTTCATATGGGTGTTTCCATAGATCTAGTCTCTTTATTTTCCCCTCAAAATGCACCAGATTGATGCATTTAACTCCAAAATTAAACAAATATCTTACCAGGGGGGGCATGCCCCCGGACCCCCCTAGAGGATTTGAGGTCCACCCCCAAAATATGTTCACATGGATAGGTTCCCAAATACATTTGCAATTTTTTTTAAATAGTAACCCCTGTCCATATGTTTATTATTGGTGTGTGTGTGTGTGTGTGTGTGTGTGTGTGTGTGTGTGTGTGTGTGTTTGAGCTTGAGTGTGTGTGCGCGTGCAAGCGTGCGCACGCGTTAGTTTCAAAGACCCCCATAGAGCTCAGTTTATAACTCGAACCCTGCTTACAGAGCCCCTCCTCCAACACACACGAACGCGCACATGACCCATGAGGGCACGAGATAAGTTTGTGCACAGATGGAAGGCTGACAGGCAGGTAGGCCATCCAGTTATTTTAGCCGGGCCGGCTCAGATGATTGGTCGTGCTTTTTACAGTACTACGGTTTCCACAGATGACATTTTTTGTATGGATTTTTTGTCAAAGCACTTCAGATATTCATTGCTATCGGGATGTTAAGAGCATTCCATGGAATATAACAAAAAGTGTATCTCGAGCCAGTTTCTTAAACTTACCTACCCCATCTTTAATTGACTTACATATACTCAATACTGTGGGCAATCCCCACAGGAGCAATTTGGGGTGAAGTGTCTCAGGGACACAACGACATGCTGACTGCAGCGGGGTTTGAACCTGTGACTCCCCTGATCCCAACACCAACGCACTAGTCCACTGCACAACGCACTAGGCCACTGTGCCACAGCCTCCCTATACCATGACTTCAAAAGAAATTGGGATACTATACTGTTAATTTTTTTTTATTACATACTATAACAATGACTATTTTTCTCACATTTCATCCTATATTACGACAATATTATTTTATTTGTAGTATGACTTTTTCCTATTTCTATCCTGTTTTGGTAAATGGTGAAAATGTTTAGAGATCCTCCTTCACAAAGCTGAAGACTCTTAACTTCAGCCATACAAAATACAAAAGAGACACTTTCACATTTCATTCACAAATGAGTAAAGACAAAGACAACATCTTAAAGTTCAAACCAAGTAAAGTTTAATGTCTACAGAAAACAAACTGGTTTCAGTCGACGAGACAAACCATCGAAATCATTTCTGTTCTCATTTCTACCTGAAAAAATTACAAAATCAGACACTGGAAAATAGAAATTACACATCGTACATCCCGTGAAAACCCCCCTAAAAGATGCACTTCATATCCCCCCCCCCCCCCCCCTCCTAGATAATATATTTCTGTCTGCCTGCACTGTACTTTCAGGCCAGCAGGGGGCAGACTGCACTCAGTTCATGCTACAACCCCACATAAAGAAGGGGCACGATCAATTAATCTTTATTATCTTTGCTTCACATGCACAAACTACATACTTTAATACACTACGTCTTCAAAAACCTTCATCAATAAACACAAATTCATAAACTCTGCAGGTACGGACGCTTTAGATCAATGTGACGTCAAAATAAATGAGCCCTGCACTGTATTTTAACATGAAAATCATTGGTTCACATGTGTGAGCAAATCTGAAGTTAACCAGTTATTTCATTGTTAAGAAAATCAGATTTTTATATTATTTTTCGTTTTTTAAAGACACAAAAAACCCAACGTAAATTACACAATGTATGAGAAGCTTTAAAGATACAGCTTTAGAAATAAAAATGGAGTATCATATAATCAAATATCACTACTTAAACTCTCTTAAAGTTGTAAAAAACACGTCTGATTTACACAATTCATACATTTTCCCTCCTGTTAACTCAATGTTTTCTAAAATATAATAACTTGTGAGGATCGATGCTTAACGGCTGGTGGGGAATGTTCAACAAAACATGGAGTGCTTGGGAAACTCAGGAAAGGACAGGCTTTGCAAATAATTTCCGGGTGCATATTTTATGTTTTTTTGGACAATCTTAACAGCGGTTAGACTTTTTTTTAAAGTTTGAAATAAATGGTGTGTTTGTGGCCATCAGCGATACGTCTACTTTAACCAAGTTGGATGAAGAAGGAGATGTTTTAGGCGACGTAACGAGGGGAAAAAAACACCAAAAAGTCGTTAATTTGCTGAAATTAGTGATGCAAAATGCTTCAAAATAAAAAACTTTAAGGGTCTTTTTTAAGATGTTTGGAGTCAAGATGTGTTTTAAATCAACTTTCACAGCTTTTTTTTAATCTATAATAACACGTTTTCACAATTTGTACGATAAATGGTGACAAGAAACTCCAAAAACAAATAAAAAAAACTGCAAATGACTACAGAAGGAGGCAGTGGTCCACAGGTATTAACGCAGAACATGTCTGAAAAGGCAGAAAAAAGGGGCAAAATCACACAAAAAAAACGACGTAATCCGGTTGTGATCTGAAAACAATGGACCTTACAGTTACAGCGCATTGAAATGTGACTTTATACAAACAAAGAAAACAGCAAACTTAACATAAACACACTTTCTAAATAATAAAAAGGATATTAGACAATACTTCGGTGGTAGACTGTTACTCTGAAGGTGTTCGAATGATCCGTGCAAGGGCTGAAATATACTCAATGTGCAAAAAGAAATATATTATTAACGAGTGAAGCTGAGTGAGACCTAAAAGGCAACGAGAAGGCAAAGAGCTGGAAAACTGCAAAAAATACTGCAAAACAAGGAAAGTATTCAGATTACTGAACTAAAAGTATTCCTACATTAATGTGAGAATACTCCACGACAAGTACAATAACTGGATTTTGAATCACACTGAAGTAATATGTGATGTATTATTAAATATATCACGATATTGGGTAATTATTCCTGTTTTTTGTAGTATTTTGTAGTATTTTGACCTCTAAGAGTTACTCCACTGGTTTAATCTTTAGCGATGCTTTATTTTAAATGATTTCTCTGGAGTATAACGTAGCATTAGGTAGAAATAATCAGGTAGAATAGACTCTTAGTGATACTTCAGTAAAAGTACTCGTACATTAATGTCAGAATACTCCACTACAAATACGATAACTGGATTTTAAATCGCACTGAAGTAAATGTACTGATTCTGCAGAAAATATTGGTAATTATTCCGTTTTTTTGTAGTATTTCTACCTCTAATAGTTACTCCACTGGTTTACACTTTAGCGATGCTTTATGTTAAAGGATTTCCCTGGAGTATAACGTAGCATTCAGTAGAAATACTCAGGTAGAGACCCTTAAAGATACTTCAGTAAAAGTATTGAGCTTCAGGAGTTTTTATTTCTGAGCTTAAATCAGAGAATACAGTTTGAGGTTTATGAGCTGCTGTCGGGGGAGATGGACGATTGTAATGCTGATAATGAACGGTAGGATGTTTTAATAAACCGTGTGTGTGTAGCTGAGTGTGTGAGGCGTTCAGTGAACTTCTGTAAAACTGAAGCTCTTCCTTCCTTCTTCTACATGCTCAGTGTATTCCTCCCCTAACATTCAACACTTCACAGAGACAACACGAGAGAGCTAACATAGCTTATAATCAGTCTAAGGCCAGAGAGAGATGGAGGATCCTCTGAGGGTTTCTAGACCCTGTAGCTCTCGCCCTTCCCGTCGATGTGGCGCAGGCGCAGGTACACGTCGGTGCCGATGCCCTGCATGGACTGGAGGGAGAGAGAGCCGCCCAGATACTCTGCGTACGCTCGGGAGGTCGGGAGGCCGAAGCCAAAACTGCAGGAAACAGAGAGAGGAGAGGGGGGGTAAAGTGGGGAAATAACACAGGAAGTAGACCTGCATTCATATACCGTGCATCTCACGTAATCATCATTTAGTGTGTGTTATATACAGTGTGTGTTCTGTGTTATATACAGTGTGTGTTCTGTGTTATATACGGTGTGTGTTCTGTGTTATATACGGTGTGTGTTCTGTGTTATATACGGTGTGTGTTCTGTGTTATATACGGTGTGTGTTCTGTGTTATATACGGTGTGTGTTCTGTGTTATATACGGTGTGTGTTCTGTGTTATATACAGTGTGTGTTCTGTGTTATATACAGTGTGTGTTCTGTGTTATATACAGTGTGTGTTCTGTCCCGTGCATTGTTTATTACCTATACATATATAGATATTAGAATGTGATATACAGTATATGTGTGTGTGTGTGTGCGTGTGTCTGTGTGTGCGTGTGCGTGTGTTATATATATATAATGTGTGTGTTCTGACCCGTGCATGGGGTTGGACTGTGATGGTGTGTGCGTGTGTGTGTGTGTGTGTGTGTGTGTGTGTGTGTGTGTTCTGACCCGTGCATGGGGTTGGACTGTGATGGTGTGTGTGTGTCTCTGTGTGTGTGTGTGTCTCTGTGTGTGTGTGTGTGTGTGTGTGTGTTCTGACCCATGCATGGGGTTGGACTGTGATGGTGTGTGTGTGTGTCTCTGTGTGTCTGTGTGTGTGTGTGTGTGTGTGTGTGTTCTGACCCGTGCATGGGGTTGGACTGTGATGGTGTGTGTGTGTGTGTGTGTGTGTGTGTGTGTGTGTTCTGACCCGTGCATGGGGTTGGACTGTGATGGTGTGTGTGTGTCTCTGTGAGTGTGTGTGTGTGTGTGTCTCTGTGTGTGTGTGTGTGTGTGTGTGTGTGTGTGTGTTCTGACCCGTGCATGGGGTTGGACTGTGATGGTGTGTGTGTGTCTCTGTGTGTGTGTGTGTGTGTCTGTGTCTGTGTCTGTGTGTGTGTGTGTGTGTGTGTGTGTGTGTGTGTCTCTGTGTGTCTGTGTGTGTGTCTGTGTGTGTGTGTGTGTGTGTGTCTCTGTGTGTCTGTGTGTGTGTGTGTGTTCTGACCCGTGCATGGGGCTGCTCTGGTTCCCACTGTTAGTGATGTTGTTGAACAGGTTGTTGTTGCTGAGCTCCTGAGCGCTCTCCTCTGCCGTGCTGAAGTGGTAATCCATCACCTTGTCTATGATGCTGTGAGGGATCCCCCCCCCACGGTCTGAGATCCTGAGGGAGGAATAAAAAAGATGAATTTTTAAAGCTTTGACTCCACGGACGTAAGGCAAGGCAAGTTTATTTATATAGCACTTTTCAACACAAGGCAATTCAAAGTGCTTTACAATAAAGCCTTGAATCTTGATATTAACCGCTCACCTGATGACGAAGTCGATGTCGTTGTTGGCGATGGTGACGACCACGTCAGGAACGTTGTACGGTGTGTCCAGGTGGCTCTCCATCGTGGCCCTGAAACACACACAGATTAACACACACACAGATTAACACACACACACAGATTAACACACACACAGATTAACACACACACAGATTAACACACACACACACAGATTAACACACACACACACAGATTAACACACACATTCATTAGGATTAATCAATTATTTCAATACCTAACAGGGACACCTAGGTCAAATAGGTATTCAGAGACTGTTTTGAGCCGATAAAACGTGTCAAATCCTGCTTTTCTTTTCTGTTTTGATCATATTAACCTGAATGTATTTTGATTTAACGATTAGTTTTTACCATATAATAGTTTTTTCGTCCATTGACAGTTATTCATTTTAAAGCTGTATCCAAATACAACCCGTTGGATATAATAAAAGGCAAGATTTTACACATTTTAAAAGAATGAAAACAGGCCTTTTTGTATTCGTGTCTCTCTTGATATAATCAATCATTTTTAAGTGATATTCTCACAGTTAAAAAAGCAAAAGAATAAAGAGAATCTGACGTTTCAAATCCAGTCTGAATGGTGAGAATCCATTCATGCACATTGGAGATATCAGGAAGACTGACACACATGTGACAATGTTTGTTTAAAAAGGGAAGTACACAAACATTGATCTGGTAACTGGAGCAGGGTGTGTGTGTGTGTGTGTGTGTGTGTGTGTGTGTGTGTGTGTGTGTGTACCTCATAGCGTTCTTCAGCAGCTCTGGCAGGATGTAGTCCAGAGGCAGAGGGATGAAGGGGAATCGAGCGGCGACGTGTCCGTTGATCCGAACGCGAGGAGAGTTCCCGTACTGATGCTCACACAGACGCCTGGAGGATATTAAACATATTAGGAAATATATTTAATATGTTTATGTTCTCACTGGTCCCCGGCTTGAGCTTCAATCTCAGGATCCATGTATTTGTGATCCTCTCCAGAATGGAAGTAGTCATCACATACAGAGCATCAACTAGTTCCTGAACAGTGTCCTTCACATGCTGATATCCAAGAGAGGGAGTTACACAGTCACAAGATGGAGGAATACCAGTACATCTAGTAATCACACATCCTGCCATGAACACAGCTACACTTGGGATACCTTTGTTATCATGTTACTCTCACATTGGAAGAGGACATTCAGTATTTTCCCGACATTGGAAGAGGACATTCAGTATTTTTTTCCACACACACACACACACACACACACACACACACACACACACACACACACACACACACACACACACACACACACACACACACACACACACACACACACCACACACACACACACACACACACACACACACACACACACACACACACACACACACACACACACACACACACACACACACACACACACACACACACACACACACACCACACACACACACACACACACACACACACACACACACACACACACCACACACACACACACACACACACACACACACACACACACACACACACACACACACACACACACACACACACACACAGTAAACAAACCTGGCGAAGTCGACCCACTTCTCCACGATCTTTTTAGGAGAGAGGCGTCTGCAGATCATCCCCACGAAATCAGTCTGAGAAAACAGAAGAATATTTAAAATATGAGCGCTGTTGAAGACGATAAGATAATATAAGAAGTACTTTATTGATCCCAAATTGGGAATGTTTGCATGTGTTCAGTAGGGCTTGAGTTGAGAGACAAGCAGGAAGTCTGCATCTTCAACAGGGCTCATGTATATATATGTATTTGAATTAAAAGCTGAGTGCATTTCTAGATGTTTTCTTATAAAAAGCTCAGTCATATCCTTGATTTTTTAAATTATGTTTTGTGTGGAGACCTGCAGGAACCTCGGGGGGGAACGTAGAACAAACAGGACTAATTCTGTAACCACAAACGGAGGAAATAAATGTGAGAGATGGTTTTATACGTACGTTTTCTTCGTGCAGAGCGAGGTGGTGCGTGGCCAGCATGCGGATCCCCAGCCGGGAGCAGAGCGTCGTGTCCAGGAAGTTACGCAGGATCATCTCATCCTGAGGAAAACAAACAACAACATCAACACCTCTGGAGGAATAACAAACACCAGATCAGGAGGGTTTATAGGAAAGAGAACGGGGGTTTGAGAACGGGGTTTGAGAACGGGGTTTGAGAACAGGGGTTTGAGAACAGGGGTTTGAGAACGGGGTTTGAGAACAGGGGTTTGAGAACGGGGTTTGAGAACGGGGTTTGAGAACGTTTTACTGACATTTAAAGTGGATTTTTTACCCTTTTTCTTTATTCTCTTGGCTGTTAATGAGTGTTTGTTTTAGTAATTTTATACTCTAGTATGATTTTAAACTACTTGATATTTACTTATGTATTTCCATTTAATACTTGTTTATCAGAATACTTTGTTATTGTATTATATTTGGGGGAAATTGGGTGTTTGTGGCTGTGAATAAATACAATAAAAATGTGCTAAAAATTAGATTTTCTTTTTAAATAATATATACAAATATTTAAATAAACAAACATTTTTTAAATATATAAAATATAGATTTCCACTACATTTTTAAAAGCTAAATATTGATTTACTCCACTACATGTTACATTTAAAAGGAGAAAAAAAAAATATTCTAAATAAACATAAAATAGGGAAGTGAAGTAAAAATATGCAATGAGAAAAATGTTTGAATATATATATATATATATATATATATATATATATATATATATATATATATATATATATATATATATATATATATATATATATATATATATATATATATATACACATAAAAAAATGTATACAAACTAAAAATATATATATATAAAAAAAGTAAATGTGTGTTACCTGGACGTGGCGCCGGCACTCCCTGAAGCCCTCAGCCAGCATGGTCACCACGTCTTTGTGGTCGTCCAGCAGCGCCTGCACCAGCTTACAGAACCGAGCCTCCACCTCCTGGTCCCCGATCTGAAACACAGGATAAACTTTAAAGGGGACCTATCATGCAAAAGTCACTTTTTGATGTCTTTTCTACATAAAGATGTGTCCCCGGTGTGTCAGGGAACTCACGCAGCGTCAGAAAATAAAACCCTCTGTCTTTTCCTCCGTACCCAAATCTCTAAAAACGGGGCTACAACGGAGCTGATCCAGATTTGCGTCCGATATGACGTAATATCTGAAATGTGGACCCACGGCCCTATCAGAAACGTTGCTATCAGAAAGTTGCTATCAGAAACAATGCCCGACTGTTTTGGACGTAATATGGTCGGTGTTTACATTAGCATCGCTAACACTCAGAGCTAACCTGTACTGGAGAGCATGTGTGTGAAGAAGCAGGACATAAAAAGGAACTCACCTTGTGGTATAACCGGCAAGAGAGAAAGCCTTTGAGCTCCATACTGTTTCAGAAATAATCCTTGATAATCCATGATATGGCGTTTCATCACGGCAGTATTTAGTTTAGACAGTAGCTGCCGGGTCCCGCATGAGCTCAGCCCCCTCCTTTTTTTTTTTAAAGCTTTATACCCCAAATCAGCACTTTTGAAACAGGAAGTGAAATAGAGGGATATGAGGCATGGCTATAATGGGTGATCTGTTTGGTATTTTGAGCAAAACACTTCATAGACATGTTTTTTATATATTTTTATATATCTGAGACCTATGCTATTGCCTAAAGATAGCATGATAGGTGACCTTTAACACTTAGATAAGACCTTCATTAATCCATGAGGGAGACTTCTGTAAGAGCAGCAGTGAGAGAGGACATGTCAGAGTCCACATAAAACGTTTGAAAAAGCTTCAGTATAAAAACCTTTTATCAACTTTTAAAACGTATTTCATGTTTTTGGATCAAAAAGTATAATCTCTCATATCTTCAATCCTGCTGAAAGTGTTAAAATCCACTGATGCTAGTTAAAGTGACAGACTGGGGAAAGTAAAAGCAACAGGATGAATTGAATTGTAGATGGTGTTAAAGTCCAGTGTGACATAACAGCAGAGTATGCTGACTGAAACCTGATCCTGAACACTCAGCTCCTCCACCCTCTGAAATCAGCAGAGATTTAACACCACTTTTGAACATTAAAGCATGGAAACATGTCACAGTAGAGACACAGAATATGTCTTCTTTAAATGTCCTTTTAAATATTTAAATTTTTAATCATTTTGGTCAGGGTTTCCTCTCGTCACTTATATGTCCTCATGTATTTCATTAGGATTATGGATATGTCTTTTTATCTGAGTCTGAGCCCCTATATGTGTGTGTGTATTGAGTTTGTGTTCAGCAGTCTGAAGGACAAGACCCCCCTCTGTGATCATTATACGTTTAAAGCTGAAAACTAAAGGGAGTCATGAGGAGAAGATCAAAGACCCCACAACACGCGTTCACTTCAAAACAGGAAGTGAACACGTGACGTGTTGTGAGACCGCAAGAGGTGAGGAACTGAACTTTTGACCCTGTGTGTGTGTGTGTGTGTGTGTGTGTGTGTGTGTCACTCACCGTGGGAAAGTCAATGAGCATGTGGTACGCTCTGATGTAAAGTTCATGCTGTAAGAAAAGAGCAGAAGAGATTAAAACGATGAACACATGAATGCACCAATAATTATAATCCAGTCATAATCAGTCTGTAGCACAGAGTCATTTTACTTCTTAATACTAATACTTATTTAGTATTTTAATATATTTTTTCTATCTAGTATCTTTTTAAAACCATTATTTTAATAATTGATTTAGTATTTTTCTTTATTTGTTAACTTTAAAATTGCGCTACTTTCTTTTCTTTTGTAATTGTTCTTACTATTAAAGGTGGGGTAGGTAAGTTTGAGAAACCGGCTCGAGTGCGCTAGAATTTGAAAATACACAACCGGAGAAAATCTGCCACTTCCTTACAGAGCCCCTCCTCCAACACACACGAACGCGCACATGACCAATGAGGGCACGAGATAAGTTTGTGCACAGATGGAAGGCTGACAGGCAGGTAGGACATCCAGTTATTTTAGCCCGGTCCGGCTAAAATGATTGGTCGTGCTTTTTACAGTACTACGGCTTCCACAGATGACTTTTTTTTATGGATCTTTTGTCAAAGCACTTAAGATATTCATTGCTATCGGGATGTTAACTCCGAGCCGGTTTCTCAAACTTACCTACCCTACCTTTAAGTATATTTATATTTCTTGTAAACATTTCTTTATTATATTACAATATTTTTTAAATAATATGGATTTTTTTAAAGTTATTTGCTCTTTTTTGACTATTGAATTCCTCTTACAGTGTTTATGCATGCACCATTACAACCCACAGCAAACTCCTTGTACCTTTTCAGCCTGTAACACAGTACTTATACACCGAGGTACTTCTACTTCAAGATCCCAGTACTTCTTAAACTTTATCAAACTTAATAATCTCTTGCTGATCAAATCTGCTGTTCGTTTCATTCCCCCCTCAGAGCCCCCCCCCCCCCGCCCGCCCTCAGCTTGATGCACACAAAGGGTTTCTGGGAGTTACGTAACGGAGAGGAGCTGCAGGGAATCTGGGTGAGAGTTCATCTGAGAGAGAGGAGCGGGAAGTAATGTTCCAGTGAGGAGAGGAGGATCTGAAGTGTGTGTGATCAGAGGGTTGAGCAACACACACTCATTAACTGTAACCACAATTAGTTATAAACCCTGCTGAAGGCTTGATGTAAATACTGCCTTGTGGCTTGTATGCTGCTCATGCTCTTTCTGCATATCATGTATTTCTGTTTGCCATGTATATAAATGTTATGTTCATAAATGTTGTATGTGACGGGACTACGGATGGAAACTAGCTCAAAGCTCATTTACATTTAAAAACAATATTTTGTTTAAAATGTTCATTAATGTGCACTGTACCGGTTCAAATAAACAATTAAATGAAAAATGAATTTGTACGCTGACATTTGATTTAGCGCCTTCTCATTGCTTCTTTTATTTAGTTAACATTCCTTTTTATTTAATATGTTGGTCTACTCTTTTTTACTTCTGCCTTTCTATCTGCAAGGTCCCTTTTCTGTTGTTACGCTGCACATGATTTATGAGTTTGTTTTCTGGGTTTTATACAGAGGCAAATATACAACAAATGTGCAAATATAAAATATATATTCAAAAAATATTTAAAAAGCAAATCCGTTAATATAGGAAAATATTCCAAAAGTAAAAATAAATGAGCAAATGTAAACAGACATGCAAATATGCATATTAAAAAAATGGAAACCCCAAAAAAACTTGACAAAAAGAAACTGCAAATACAAAAACACATTTTATACTCCCAACAATATATTTTGCATGTATAAATGGATCTGCAAATATACAAACACAGATAAATCAAATCTGTGAATACCAGCAGGAAGTGTCTGGTTGCTCTGGGGTTTTGTGTATATTTACTTACAAAAAATGGTTTTGCATCAGTGGAAGGTTTTATATATTACACACAGATTGTTTATCCGTTCGAAAAAACATCGACATAGTTTAACGAGACATCTGTGTGTGTGTGTGTGAGAGAGAGAGAGAGAGTGTGAGTGTGAGTGTGAGTGTGAGTGTGTGTGTGCGTGTGTGTGTGTGTGTGTGTGTGAGGGGGTTTAAAGGAATTTTGTTTGTCCAAAAAGGCATTTCAAAATCTCCACAGCAATGCGTGTTTCCAGGAAAACGTGTCAGAGAGCAGCGACCTTCTTTTTAAGAAAAGTATTTTTGCTTCACGTTACAGGAATTTTCCTAGGTAGCAAAAAGAAAACTCCACATCCATCATCCTTTGGGTTTATTTTTAGTGTGGAGGACGAACTGTGGAGGTGTGTTTCAGGGATTCAGCTGAACGCCGTACTGAGGGAAAGGGGATTCATCTGAACGTCGTACTGAGGGAAAGGGGATTCAGCTGAACGTCGTACTGAGGGAAAGGGGATTCAGCTGAACGTCGTACTGAGGGAAAGGGGATTCAGCTGAACGTCGTACTGAGGGAAAGGGGATTCAGCTGAACGTCGTACTGAGGGAAAGGGGATTCAGCTGAACGTCGTACTGAGGGAAAGGGGATTCAGCTGAACGTCGTACTGAGGGAAAGGGGATTCATCTGAACGTCGTACTGAGGGAAAGGGGATTCAGCTGAACGTCGTACTGAGGGAAAGGGGATTCAGCTGAACGTCGTACTGAGGGAAAGGGGATTCACAGGAACATCTCTGGCACAAACAGAGAACTCACTTCCCCTCTGCTCTGACATCTGACTCATGTTCCTTCTGCTTAATATCAACGCTTTGTTTTTCTGTATTGTGTCAGGTCACAGCGACCTGCAGACAAAAAGTCACGCTGCTGCCAAACCACACTCTGAATGATTCAAGCAGAGCAGGAACACTGGCACCACTTCAAACATGTTCACAGTGAGAGAGGAACGAGTCTGAAGAAGTCGACACTAAGTACAGCATTCAGACATCGAGGTGTGAAATGTTGAAGTGCTTTTAGTTTATTTCTAACTCCAGAGCCAGTAAGGGGCTGGAGGAATAAGTATCTTGATGGCTTTCAATATGTTATCCATACACAGACGGCAAGTATCAATTGTTTGTTAGATATTATTATATATAGCAAATACAAAGTAAAAAAAAGGCTTCATAAACATCACGATGTATGTAATCGTAACACTCGGCGTATTGCAAAATGTTTACAATCCCAATAATTGTTACTTAGGTATCCAATACTTCTGGCTGTTACTTAAGTATCAGGATAATATCAAATCGTGACTTTAGTATCAGGTTGGGATGGAAATGGATTCACAGGAACATCTCTGGCACCAACCCAGAATGCACTTCACCGCTAATCTTAAATCTGACTCATGCTCCTTCTCTGTGGCAATTAATGTTTTGTTTATCTACGGGTCACAGTGACCTGCAGACATAAAGTCATGCTGCTGCCAAACCACACTCTGAATGATTAAAGCAGAGCGGGAACACTGGCAGCAAGTCAAACATGTAGAGAGAGAGAGGAACGAGTCTGAACACTGAGAGGTGATTAATGCTGGTTTACAAAACTTCTACCAACAGTTCAGTCCCTGCATGACTGGCTAATACTGGGTTCCATTTGTATAGAGTGGTTCGGGAATTCATGTATTTCTGTGTTGGTCACTGAAGGCAGCATCTCCCTGATCCAATGGGATTCCTCCATGTGATTTTGGATTATTGCAGAAAATAATCCCAACATTTATGATATTTACACGTTTTGTTCAGCAGGATAATCTCCACATATTAACACTTTACGATTTCTGAAGTAAAAAGCTAATGTTGGGCTATAAAGGAACTACAGCACGGTCACATGACTTCACGTCACCACCGCTAAGCTAAAGGAGGCTAATGTTGGGCTATAAAGGAACTACAGCACGGTCACATGACTTCACGTCACCACCGCTAAGCTAAAGGTGGCTAATGTTGGGCTATAAAGGAACTACAGCACGGTCACATGACTTCACGTCACCACCGCTAAGCTAAAGGAGGCTAATGTTGGGCTATAAAGGAACTACAGCACGGTCACATGACTTCACGTCACCACCGCTAAGCTAAAGGAGGCTAATGTTGGGCTATAAAGGAACTATATACTGGTATTTACTGACATATTTTATGTCGTAGAACAAAAATCTCTTCAGCTTGTGTTAACCACAGACCTTATTTCAGGCTAACAACCAAAAACACATTCAGAAACCATTGAAGAGGGAACAGGAAGTGGTTAAATGCTGACTCATGTCAGGGTTAAGGACTCATTCCTGCACCTCTCTATACTTTCCATTATGACCCAAGATGAATTCAGGCTAAGTATAATTAGCTCCTGTGTTGGAGCTGTGCTGACTAGCTCTCTGCTCACTATGTGAAAGTGCAGTTGTCACTTTCTTATTATAGAGTTCACTGCATGGCATGGCTTCTCGTACAGCTCCAACACTGGCTTATTGACAGCTAGTTAACCTAAAGGACTCTTGCACGTATTCTAGGTGACTTTATATAAAAGAAGTGAATGTAAAGGAGTCTTTTTACTTCTTATATCTGCAGCATTTGTTCCAAAGGTTGCAATAAAGGAACAAAAACAGCCCCTTTTTCCGTTTGTGTCACTCCTGATTAGGGTTGGGTACCGAAATCCGGTTCCGGTTCGGAACCGTTTCCAAAATTTAGATTCCATGGGTATTGTTTAGAAATGTTAGTTTCGGTTCTGCTTATCGATTCCTAAGGGAATGCATCTCGCCGCTTTCTGTACTGTTACACGGGGGCGGGGCGTGTAGCGAGCACAGTGGCAGGTTTGGGAAGCAAAACTCGGTTCAGAGTAAGAACAAATAACAATTGTCCGGTACCCGGATTTATAAGAGTTGTGAGGACAGGAGGACCGCAGCTCTCTCTCTCTCTGCTCCGGATCAGCTGAGCGCTGCACGGTGCAGCTCAGCGTCTGTCTCTCTCTGTCTCTCTCTGTCTCTCTCTGTCTCTCTCTCTCTTTCTACACACAGCGGCTCCGCTGCCCGTTTAACAGCCTCATCTTTGTCAACCTTTCTTATGTTCTTTCTCTAACACATTACGAACTAAAACGCACATTACGAACTAAAACGCTTAATAACCTTCATTACGAAGGTTATTAAGCGTTTTAGTTCCTATGTTTTTTAATATTGACCGCCATTTCCTTTATGAAGTAAATCAGCCTCCCTGTCTGTGTCCTCGCGCTGTCCTCACATCCCCGGACTGTGAGACAGACTCGGAGGAGCACAGGGATGTCAGTATTGTTTATGAAGCAGGGTATATAGAAAATACATTATTGTAATGAAAATACTATTTATTTACTTTTACAAACAGTGAGCAGCTGGGCAGCTGCAGCATGTGTATTGCAGGACATGTGTTGGACACACAGACTGTGTGGTTGGACTCTGTCTCACAGGCAGGTTGCACTGTAACATCAGAGGAGACTGGGCTAATTGTACATTCTCAAACTGCACCACTTAGAACTAACTAAACAATGCAGAGATTATTTTAATATAATTGTATTCAATAACCGCAACAAAATGAAACAGTATGAAGTGATTTGTAAATAGGAATACAGATATGACTTAATGTTTTCATAAATATATTTTTCTCCCAGTGAAATTGGCATGGGACTTATTTTTACCCTCTCAAAGAACCGGAATCGAGAACCGAAAATAACCGGAATCGAGAACCGAAAATAACCGGAATCGAAAAGCAGAACCGGAATCGTTAAAATCCAAACGATACCCAACCCTACTCCTGATATGAACTCCCATTGTGTAAGATTGGTAAGGACTATTTTCACAGTTAAAATTGCAAAACTATGATGAGAAATTGACATTTCAAATGCAGTCTGAATGGTAAAAATCCATTAACGCATATTGAAGATATCAGTGTGTAACATCAGGAAAACTGTCGCAAATTTCAGGGTGTAGGTTTAAAAAAGGCTGTAAACAAACACCGATCTGGTAACTGGAGCCGTGCAGTGTGTGTGTGTGTGTGTGTGTGTGTGTGTGTGTGTGTGAGTGTGTGATCCTACCACTTGCAGGATGGTGGGGTTGCAGCCGATGATGAAGGGCAGACTGCGGAAGCCCTTTATGCGATGGGCGATTCTTACAGGAAGCTCCTTATGAAGATACTTGGCACTGCTCTGAGATCACACACACACACACACACACACACACACACACACACACACACACACACACACCACACACACACACACACACACACACACACACACACACACACACACACACACACACACACACACACACACACACACACACACACACACACACACACACACACACACACCACACACACACACACACACACACACACACACACACACACACACACACACACACACACACACACACACACACACACACACACACACACACACACACACACACACACACACCACACACACACACACACACACACACACACACACACACACACACACACACACACACACACACACACACACACACACACACACACACACACACACCACACACACACACACACACACACACACACACACACACACACACACACACACACACACACACACACACACACACACACACACACACACACACACACACACACACACACACACACACACACACACGAGAAGCAAGTGAGTCACAGAGATCAATAAATTTCCCTTTATCCGACCCACAACCGCTATATTTAGATTGCCAAAACAAAGGAATAGTTCAGATAAAAAGCAAAATAAAATAGAATAAAATAATTATAAATAATGTAAAAATATATTATAATATATTATGATAATTATTAATATATCAAATAACAAAAAACATATTTAATACATCTTTAAAAAATCTAATAAATACACATCTATAGTTAAAAATAATAATAATTCAGCTTGTACGAATTGTGAAGTAGCAGACAGTGTTAACATTTATACAAAATTATATATTAAATAATAGTACGGTTGTCTGAGATATTTACCAGAACGTGGTGTCCATCAGGAGATTTCCCAGAATACAGCAGGGTGGCGAGAGTCAGCCGAATCGAGGCCTGGAGAGGAAATAAACACAAGGATTACAAACAGATCCAGAGTCAGAACTGTACGTTATATTACATTATGGGACCAGAAAATACTTTAACATAGAGCTTTATATACACTTTGCATGCATGTGGTTTCATTCATACGATCCACACTCCGGGTCAGTTTATTACCAGGAGTTAATGGCTTTGTATTCAACAAATCCCCTCACATAGCCTTTGCGTTACGAGGAATATAATATAATACAAATTATATAAAAGACACAGCTGTTACTGAAGCTGGAATCCAGGAATATACCTGTAGCAGGTTTATGTATTTTTGTAGAAACCTGTGTATTTGAGGCCAATTATCAATTTAATTAACCAAAATGACTAAATCAGGAGTGTAATAAAGCCGATACTAGCTCCTCTGATGTTTATGTCCCCTCTTTAATCCTTAATGTAGTGTTACTGTCTACATTTAGGCAAACCAGCGCTCCCAGTATGACCCTTTGTGTTTCTTCGCCTCAGGCAATCCTGTGTATTGTATGTAAACAAAGCAATGAATTATGGGTAATTTACTCGTGTAAATTCTGCAGAAATGCAAAATGTGAAAAAGATCATGATTGTTTTAAATATGAATATCTGTGATTAATTGTTAGGTCTATAAAACGTTAGAAAACTGTGATAAATGTCGGTCCTAGGGTCTCAAAATCCAACATGTCTTTTCCTGTAATATTTTTGACTTTTTATTCTAATTATCCAGAATATTTTATATTGTTTATATTTGATATATTTTTCATTTTATTTCTTATTGTTAATTCTCTTTTCCACTTTTTAAAGTATTTAAAGTATTGTATTATAACAGGGTATATGCAGGAATCCTGAAGTCAAATGTAACACCTTTTAAGACCTTTTTTAAGACCCTTTCCATACATTTTAAGACCTCATCGCCACTTGGAGTTTTAACCGGTTACATTGGCGACACACTTTACCTCACATTTACTATATACAGTATTGATTGTCCTTCCTCCTTATTTTCCAACCATTTGGACGCAAACTTGCATTTCCCCATAACGATGTTGTTTAACAACCAGCGTAAACGGACCTTCGCGCGCTATCAAGCAGTGAGCGTGCGATGTCCTGTTCAGATGACGTCAAATCCAATGGGATGCCATAAATAAACTACACAGAATCACACTACACACCTACGCAATGATTACATTCAGGCACACTGTAGAATACAACCTCTTTGGACAATTTATATACTTATTGAAAACAAGCTACAAAATGTAATACCTTGGAAAATGCCGTTTAATACGTTTTAATAGCCTTAATTTTCGCTAAATTGATTTATCAACTTTTAATACTTTTTAAGACCCCGCGGACACCCTGTATAAAGTCTGAACACACTTCTGCTTGTGTGACGAAAACCTTTCCCAAATTGGGATCAATAAAGTATCTACCTATCTTAAAATGTTGTTGTTGTCAGTCCAAAACAAAAACATGTTAACAAAGAAAGCAGGAAATCTTATTGTATATAGGCTGAAAACTGACCATTTTGCACAACAACTAGGTTTAAAAATGGTCTTTATCATAGTTTTTCTGCAGCTAATAACAGATAACAGCTTTTATTAATGAGAGCTCAGCATTGGTTTGATATTAACGGGTGCTGAGACCCCGGTAACGCCCGGCAGAGACACTATCTTTCAGGAGATATAAACACATGTTAGTGAGCGGCAGCAGCAGACAGGCTCTGTGAGTCAGATCTGAGGCGTCTGAACCTGGCTCTCACAAACAGATCTGTTTATCGTAGACACAGGAAAACAAGGCTTTGCTCAAAGGCTTCAGGGCAGAACTGGAAGTACAACTGCACCATGTACAGAGAGAAATACACAGCAAGGTCAAAACAACCTGACTTTTTAAAGTATATCCCTAAGTCAGTACATTAAAGGTAGGGTATGTAATTCACTTCAGAAACACTTTTTGTTATATTCCATGGAATGCTCTTAACATCCCGATAGCAATGAATATATGAAATGCTTTGACAATAAATACATAAAAAAATTCATCTGTGGAAGCCGTGGCGCTGTAAAAAGCACGACCAATCATTTTAGCCGGCCCGGCTAAAATAACTGGATGCCTACCTGCCTGTCAGCCTTCCATCTGTGCACAAACTTATCTCGTGCCCTCATTGGTCATGTGTGCGTTTGTGTGTGTTGGAGGAGGGGCTCTGTGAGGAAGTCTGAAGGAAGGGGCAGATTTTTTTCGGCTGTGTACTTTCAAATTCTAGCGCACTCGAGCTGGTTTCTCCATTCTACCCCACCTTTAAACCAAGTGAGGTACTTTAGTGCAATTTTGTGGTACTTTATTAAAGTATTTCCATTTACTTAGATGTAGTTTTCAGATAATAATAATAATAATAATACATGCTCTTTATATAGCGCTTTTCCTGGTGCTCAAAGTGCTTAAAAACAGATGAAGATGTTGCATTCAAAACACAATGCCTCTCTCACTTATGGAGGACAGTTTTCTGCAGAATCAGAACTTTTACTTTTCTGCTCTTTCCGAGTACTTCCCCCGCCTCTTTATTTAATAGTCGTGTGACCGCCTCAAGTTACAAGACAAACACTGAGTCCAGTCTTGTGGAATTGGAGATCAGAAGCTTTGTGCACGTACATATTAATCTGAGCAACTACACCTTTATTACTTCACAACAAGTCACTTACAGTAAGTGCTATCAACCATGAAGATAACAAACAGAGGAGCAGCAATCCTGCAGGTTCACTAAGTTCAAGCACCATTTAAAGTGCATTGGTTTAAAGGCACAAAATGCTACATACAGGTTAACATTTGTATTTTACTGGTGCATTTAAAACACATGTGTTCTTCTCACTCAGTCTGCAACAGATTGTGTTGACTGTCTGCAGCTTTAAAGGGTTTCATTTCAGTGTTTGAATAACAAAAACAGATGTAAATGACTTCCTTTTTAAAACTGTGAAGAAATACTTGTGTTTTGCTCAAGACATCTGCTAAATGTATGACTAGTGTAATGTAGACATCGGTGTTATTGCCAGAATAAAGGAACAACTGACAATAAAAGAGGGTGGAAAATACTTTTGACAGCACACAAAGAGGCTGGAAGTTGTTAGTGTGCAGATATGATTATGTCAAAAGACCCACCCCTGTTTGACAGCATGTTCCCTTTAATAGACACAAAGTGATGGGTCGACTTGACATCAGACAGTCAGTACAGACCATAGACTGTATATATAAAGGGTACAGACAGATGTACACCATCCACTCTCCATAAATCACTGTGGCATGTTCTGTTATGAAGGCGGTGTTATTTCAGCAGCTAGACACAATGTTCTTTAAAGTCTGAGACGCTGCGTTCAAGTGCTCAGTGGAACATAGGTCAAATAGCGGTCAGGGCTAACGTGCCGCTTTACGTTATTAAACATTAGATTATAATCGAACATCTTAACAGTGATAGTATGAGTGGATACAACTAGATACACTTTGTAACATCGTGTGAGTATAGTGAGTGATATTAATGACATTATACAGGCTTTTTTTTAATTATTTTTGTAATGTTATTATAGTTTTCTTAAAATAGTTCTCTATCTGTGTTTTTAATTTGTGTTTTACTTTTATGTATGCACCATGACACGAAGTCAAATTCTTCTTACGTGTCAACCTACCTGGTAATAAACCTGTTTTTCTGATTCTGATCTGAACATCTTATCCGAGTAACGTTAGAAGGAAGCATCCCATTTACTTGACTTTTCCAGTGTCAGTGAACGCAGCTGAGTCGTAGCTAACGGCTGCAATAAAGCTACAGTTAGCTTTGAACTCCCCTCGTCGTTGTCACAGTTTGTAATACTAAATACCCTTAAAGTCTTAATGGTTACCTTCTCCGCGGACACGTCAATGGCGGACTGGTTGTAGAACGAGGTGACGGTCTTGGATCTTTCCCTCGCCATCTCCGAGTAACCCTGCATGGAGGACGTGGATCGGAACCTCAGCGGCACTGTTGTGATAATCGGGGCCGAAAACAGGGTGCCTAACCTCGGCCTGGCTCGGCAGGAAGCACCGCTGAGCACCTCCACGGCGAGACCCGCGAAACCCATCGTTTCTCCGGACAGAAGAGTGTGTGTGTGTGTGTATTAAAGGTGTAAATGTTAGGAGGCCATCAGGGTCGCGTCGTATGGTGCACAAAGGCACGAATACAGTAGAGAGAGGGTACAGAAAGGGCTTTGTGCTCATTGGCCAGTAGCGGAGAGATACGGGGTGACGTAATGAGGCGTTGTCCAATGAGAGAGGAGAGGAGAGGAGAGAAGGCGGGGCTTAGGTGTAGTGTTAACCCCGCCTCCTCCATGCACTACTGTACTACTGTAACTATTATAATAATATTAAAATATAGTAATATTTACATGACATAAAGATGAAATATAGATATAGTCGTAGAAACATATAATTCATTAATAAAAGTACCAAGTGCAGTTAAAAAAATGTATTAAAAAATAATTTAGTAAAAGTTATCTAAGTATTATACCATTAAAATAAAGCAATATTTACATGAAATAAAGATTAAATAAAGATATAACCATAGAGAAAAAAATGTATTAACAAATAATTTAGATAAAAAGTATTTTCACTCCAAAACCACACACACAACAATGAAAGAAGTTTTAAAAAATGCAGTTTATTTTTATCAAAATATTTGTACAACTTATGTGCGAGATGTTGGGTTACGTCATGATGGGTTGTCCAATGAGAGGAGAAGAGGCGGGGCTTAGCTGCAGGGCCCCATCCATGCTCTACTATACTGTACACTGCAGGTAAACAAGTGTTACACCTGTGACTTCAGAGCCTTTATTTAATTAGAAGTACTTATACCACACTGTATACATACTGAGTTACAAGTACAAGCAATGCAGGGGAAAGTACAATTAAAAAAATATACTGTATAAAAGCCAATACAGTAAGAAAGTACCCAAAATGTATTCAAAAAAAATTAGTAAAAAAAAGTGTATGAGTTTTTTGTGCAAAGAATCTTAACATCTTTTAATCGTAAATATTATTCTGAAATAGGCCACTATGGAGATTGAGTGATTGTACTTTCTGTACTTTAGGCTTTGGTTGGTCACATTTTGACCAAATATTGTCAATACCTTTTTTGTTTGTCCTTTAATCCAACAACACAAGAATGAAACCAGATTCTTTTAAATGCAGAATTGTTTTATTAAAAAAATCCATTGTACAACTTCACAACATGTGAAAATAGAAAAAGCAGTTACAGTAGAAAAACTGTAAGGTTAGGGTTAGAAACACAGTCAAGGTTAATTCACACTGTACCAAATCCTGACACATGTCTGATCATTGTTTCATTCGACTGCATGAGCTTTTATTACATTTGTGCTCCTGGACACAAATACTTCTCAGTGGCTTTTAACTTCAGTACAAATTACTTCACTAAATACACAAATCGTGACATGTAACAAATACTCAAATAAAACCAGAAACTAAATTGAAAAGATCTAAATGTAAAACGAGATGCTTAAAGCCGATAATGTAGACTTAAATAACATTGTTTTGTCTTCTTCAAATGTTAACACAATTAGTAATTAACCTGTCATTTGTGAACATGATGCACATGCTATATGCTTTCATGTTTATGTCACCATTTGTTTACTTCTAAGTCTTAAGTATGTTGCATTTGTTAAAGCAGTCTGTTCTTAAGCCTTCTATCGTTTCTGGAAAAAAATTGTAGGTACGCTTTAGCTATTGTGCAAATGACAACAGAGCCTTTAAATCTTGACTCTAATAATAACAACTCATAACTACGTCCAATAACAGAGAACGACGTGTCACACAGCAACTAGGACAATTCTCTACCCTTAGCTACTGTTCACAACAGCACCATCTTTTATGTAAATCAGTATAAAGTTCTACAGAATTGAAACTGCTCAATTTTACGTTATACTTTGTTTTAAAAAACAGGTTTTGGATTCCTTAAATCTGTCCGGCCAACAATAGCTACGACACTTTTCCCTGTGGCATCAACATAAAGGTAACTTTCCCCGAACAAATGATGGAGAGATATCTTCGACCGACAGATAGTCATGTTGTTGTGATGAAAAACAACAAATACCTCAAAAATACCAACATGGTGTCATCAGTTTTTCATCAGTTTCTCTTACAAATGAAACTCAGGATTTCCTCATGATGCCTCCTCTCTCTTCCAAACGATCACCATGTTGTTCCTTAAATCTGTCTGGCCAACAATAGCTATGACACTTTTCCCCATGGCGTCAACATAAGGGTAACTTTCCCCGAACAAATGATGGAGAATGATCTTAAGACAAACAGATAGTCAAGTTTTCGTGATGAGAAACAACCCAAACAAATACCAACATGGTGTGGTACACATCAGTTTTTCTTACAAATGAAACTCCGCATTTCCTCATGATGCCTCCTCTCTCTTCCAAACGATCACAAATGATGGAGAAGTATCTTCGACAAACAGATAGTCATGTTGTTGTGATGAGAAACAACAAATACCAACATGGTGTGGTACAGTCTGATCATTTTTTCTTACAAATGAAACTCAGCATTTCCTCAAATTCTCCGCTCTCTTCCAAACGATCACCATGTTTTTGTCGCTGAGGGCCACCAGGTACTGGAGTTCAGGATCCATCGCTACGCTGTTGATGGAGGGACCCTCCACCCCCCCGAGGCCCTTCCTCATCGGGGACGGCCAATCCAACACCTGTAATGCAAAAACATGTTTTCATAAGGAGGAAGTTCATTCATTGGCTCCCACAGGATCCATCTTGTTCTTATTTATAGACACATGCATTTTCAAGCATTTGGACTACCTACGTTGTAAATGTATTATCTTTTGAATTTACACACGGCATCTATTGCACGTCTGTCCGTTCTCAGAGAGGGATTCTCCTCTGTTTCTCCTCGAGGTTTTTTCCCCGTTAACTGTGGGGTTTCTTTGGAAGTTTTTTCCTTGCCCGATGTGAGGGTCCAAGGACAGAGGGTGTCGTATTCATATTCTGTACAAACTGTAAAGTCCACTGAGACAAATGTAACATTGGGCTATATAAATAAACATTGACTGATAGATTCCACTGTCAGAGCAGACTGGTTCTGGCACTAATGTACATTTCTCAAAGATATTGAACTGACTGTTATTTTGTATATATTGATTGTTGTGTCTTAATGTGTGCATATGTCCACATCTAATGGGAGAAACAGGGTCCCGTGATTCACTAAAGTCAGCCTGAAGCATCCTCTGTGCTCCGGTCAATCCTCTCAGTACGAACTTTAAGTCACTTTTTTAGTAAGGTAGATACATAGAGAAAAATGTGTCACACCTAACATCATATGTGTAACACGTACACTAGTATATTATATTAACTATGTTTTATTGATCACAGTTGTAGAGTTGGATTCGGAGCAGATGAATACCTGTGTGGGTTGGATGGGTTTCCCGCTCTGGAAGTTGTTCTTCTGCAGGTTGGTGATGTGGTACGTCCACAGCCGGCCTTTATCATCTCCACACACTATGTATCCTCGACCTGCAGAGAGAGAGAGCGAGAGAAGAGAGAGAAGAGAGAAGAGAGAAGAGAGAAGAGAGAAGAGAGAAGAGAGAGAAGAGAGAGAGAGAGAGAGAGAGAGAGAGAGAGAGAGAGAGAGAGAGAGAGGGAGAGGGAGAGGGAGAGAAAGAGAAAGAGAAAGAGAGAGGGAAGAGAAGAGAAGAGAGAGATGTTGACACACACACACGTAAAGCATTATAGTTTTTTACTGTATTTTTAAATGTTACTATCGTTTTCTTTAAATAATTTGCTATCTGTGTTTTTAATGTTATGTTTGCACCACAACACCAAATCAAATTCCTGTTACGTGTCAACAGGTAATAAAGCTGATGCTTGCTATGAAAAGGTACATAATGCCTTATGATGCTTGATGATGATGAAGGGTTAGGGTGAAGATGAGATGAAGAGATGACTCACCTGGACAGGTGTTCAGAGCCAGGTAAGGAACCTCAGTGCTGGTCCACTGCAGCTCCATCAGAACCACAGCACTCACACTCAGGCTCTTCTTATCGGGTCGCTGGGCCGTCGTTCTGCTCAAACTCCACAGATAGATACTGCTGTGGAGAAAGTTCTTAGAAGCTGAGGAGGAGGAGGAGGAAGAGGAGGAGGAGGAGGAGGAATGAACAGATATTTATACCATTTTAGCATTATTACTGTACAATTCCATCAAGAACCAGGTTTTAAACGATGCCTATATTGATATTATTACACTACTATATTTATTTTTGCAGTATATTGTAGTGAAATGTGGATATATTTAGTGTAACTTGTTTCAATTGTATTAAATGTTATTGTATTTGAACTCCAATTAGTTCAATTTTATTTTATTTGATCAATGTATTTATTTTTCTACCAGCAAAAACATGTTAAGAATTGGGTTTTTAATATTTAATACATGGTTGGATACACTAATGTCCATTGAGAGCTAGGGCTGTGCAATTAATCGTATTTTAATCGCAATTACGATTTTGGCCTGCCACAATTACGAAAACAACATAATCGAAAAAAACGATTATTTTGCTTTGCTTGGTTGTGACTAATTAATTTTAGTCTAATTTATTTGTATTTATCATATTTATATATGTTTAGTAGCTTGTTGAAGTGCGCTCCAAAATATTTGTTGATCTTGTTTATTGGTATTTATTATTTTGATATTATTTATTTAAATGTATCATTTATTTTATTTATTTTTGTATTGGTTTTTCAGTTGAATTATACGTTCAGGGTAATCAACAGTTAAAAAGATACTGTTCAAATTATTATTTGTATTTGTTTTAAAGTTCAATAAATGGATGTTTTCAAAGTCAATGAATAATCGTATTTAATAATAGTGATATCAATTATTGACCCAAAATAATCGTGATTATGATTTTTGCCATAATCGCACAGCCCTATTGAGAGCCTTATGAAATATGTGCTAACAAAAATGATCTATAGCGCCATCAAGTGGTAGCAATAAAGTAGGTAGTAAAGTACTGATTAGTGAGAACATTTCAAAACATTTAATATATTACTTGGACGTAGAAGTATGACGTGTATCAAATATAGTATTCAAGTCAAATTAAAATGTGGTACCAAACAACAAGTAAGTAAAGAGCGTCTCTTACCCACGATGTCGTCCGTGAGGAAGCTGAGTCCGTCCACGGTGTGATAATCGTGATCCTTGTCCTCCTTTTTATAAACAGGGAACGTGATCTCCATCTCTTTTGAGCGACTGAGAAACAACACACCATATATTACATTAAATTATGTTTTATGCATTATCTAATGAAACAAATCATTTATTGTAGCAGAAAAAGTTTGGCGCAAAAAAGGGAAATATTTTACTTTGTACAGTGTTAGTTACTAATTACTTCACAAATGATGATATTAACATAAAAGCAGTTTTGGAAGTTGATGTTCTGAGAGCATATAAAAGAAAAGGATAAACTAGGGCTGCAAAATTAATACAAAATGTATCACGGTTTGGGCTTCACACAATTAAATAACTAAGATTGACTCAAATAAGACGGTGTTTGGTCCATAATTCAATATAATTCTGCTAGGGAGGCGTGTGGCGCAGTGGGCTAGTGCGTTGGTGTTGGGATCAGGGGGGCACAGGTTCAAACCCCACTGCAGTCAGCATGTCGTTGTGTCCCTGAAGACACTTCACCCCAAATTGCTCCTGTGGGGATTGCCCACAGTATTGAGTATGTAAGTCGCTTTGGATAAAAGCATGTCACACAGTAACATGTCATGTAATGTGTATTATACTATAAATATCATTTTTTTTACAAATATGGTGCAGCCCTAGTTTTTAAATTAGCAGAAATGTAGAACAACATTAGTACGAGCATTACTCTGTTTATGTAAATGTGAAAATGCAACTAATAAAAGTGTTTTGACGCTAAAATAAAGGAATACCGATTATCATTTTGTTCCTGTTGGTGCGGTTCTACCTATATTGATGCAGCTCTAGCTCTATTTGTGTGGTTCTAGCTCTATTGGTGCGGTTCTAGCTCTATCTGTGTGGTTCTAGCTCTATTGGTGCGGTTCTGGCTCTGTCTGTGTGGTTCTAGCTCTGTATTGCAGGTGTACCTCTTGTTGGAGCTCTTGGTCTCCAGCTGTGTTTTGTAGAAGTAGAGCCCGTCCTCACAGGCCGTCAGCAGCTGGGAGGAGGGGGAGGAGGGGGGGAGGCAGAGGTGAAGGGGGGGGGAGCTGACCTCCAGCACCAGCAGCTGACTGCATGAAAACAAAGTTAAAAAAATGGCGTCAGAATACATTTAAAGAATCCACTTATTGAATATGTACATTTTAAAAAGCCCCAAATATGACATTTATTAACATGTTTGATTAGAACCAATAAACCCCAGCAAAAACTACAAGAAATAAGTCCTCCTCGTCTGTTCAAAATGTCCTCCTCATGTGTTCAAAATGTCCTCCTCGTCTGTTCAAAATGTCCTCCTCGTCTGTTCAAAATGTCCTCCTCGTCTGTTCAAAATGTCCTCCTCATGTGTTCAAAATGTCCTCCTCGTCTGTTCAAAATGTCCTCCTCATGTGTTCAAAATGTCCTCCTCATGTGTTCAAAATGTCCTCCTCGTCTGTTCAAAATGTCCTCCTCGTCTGTTCAAAATGTCCTCCTCGTCTGTTCAAAATGTCCTCCACATCTGTTCAAAATGTCCTCCTCGTCTGTTCAAAATGTCCTCCTCGTCTGTTCAAAATGTCCTCCTCATGTGTTCAAAATGTCCTCCTCGTCTGTTCAAAATGTCCTCCTCGTCTGTTCAAAATGTCCTCCTCGTCTGTTCAAAATGTCCTCCACATCTGTTCAAAATGTCCTCCTCGTCTGTTCAAAATGTCCTTAGTGCTTAGGAAAGGATTTCTTAAGATTGATTTGTAGACATATGGAGAGAAAGGAGTTTAAATACTCACATGACTTTGTAGTTGTACTGGCTGTCGAGCCCCCCGATGTCCCACATCACGATCTTGTTATCGTACGATCCCGCTGCGAGAGGAACAACAAGATGCATTCAAGAACACAAACAAAAAACTGAATTTCTACAATCACAATGTAAAGCAGTGGTTTCCAAATTGAAACAAGTGGAAAACAATTAATATGATGCGTGAATAAAGTGTATATTAAGTATATTAAGACGTGTTATTAATATAAAAAGTTACTAGTAGATATGAGTGTTAAATTAATGAAGTGTAGGAGTGTAAAAGTGGCAGAAAATGGTCGTACTAAAATAAGTAAAACCAGTTAGAAATGATACTTTTACATTACTTGTTAGACGCTTTTATCCAAAGTAAATTTACTTTTACACAAAGAACGTCCTAATTTTTCCAATATTAAAATGGTTATAAAGTAATGGGTGACTGTTAATTAATTAGTATATTGCAATTTAATGGACCGTCCCTCAAAACACACACAGAGCTTCTTCTTCTGTGGTATTAAAGGTGGTGTACTCACTGAACAGGAAGTTGCCCTGCCTGTGGTTGAAGCACAGCACGGACAGAGACTTCCTGCTGGCTCTGAACTCTCCGAACGCCACGTTGTTTCTGGGATGGATGAGTTTCACCAGACCTCTCTTCCCCCCCGCTGCCAGCACGTTGCAGGGCTGAGCCGAGGAGCGCCCCCCCCCACGGGTCATCAGCACCGTGGACCAGGCCAGAGAGAAGAACTCCTGGATATATCAAATAACAACAATCATTATAGTGAAGTCCTGCAGCCTATTTTTTTACAGTAGTTACTTTGCAAGTTAGGGTATTCACATTAAAGACTTTTTGGAAAATATATAAACGTATGATGAAAAAAAACTAGGGTTGCACAATTAATTAAATATTTATCACGATTCTGGTTTCCCACAGTTAAATAACTAAGATGGCCGCATCGTTTTGCTTTCAAATTCAGCCTCATTTACTTTAAAATCAACTTGAATTTGGCCCATCATTCAGTAAATTGCAGCAAAAATAAAACTGCAAGTTCAGTTTTATTTATTTTTTTAAATGGAGCAGCTCTACTCATTAAAGGGGACCTATCATGCAAAATGCACTTTTTGATGTATTTTATACATAAATATGTGTCCCCGGTGTGTCGGGGAACTCACGCAGCGTCAGAAAATAAAACCCTCTCTCTTTTCCTCTGTACCCAAATCTCTAAAAACGGGGAACAACGGAGCTGATCCAGATTTGCGTCCGATATGAACGCCTTTGTAACCTCGAGATTGGACTATCGCAACGCTCTGTATGTGGGTATGGACCAGGCCTCAATTAAAACACCTGCAGCTAGTCCAAAACGCAGCTGCACGTCTTCTGACTGGCCACAAAAAGCGTGACCACATCACCCCAATTCTGGCCTCACTGCAGTGGCTTCCAGTTCGGTTCAGAATTGATTTTAAAATCCTTTTATTTGTTTTTAAAGCACTAAATGGGCTGGCTCCGGCCTATATAGCTGAACTCCTCCAGCGCTACACCCCAACAAGAGCTTTAAGGTCTGCTGACCAGCTGCTGCTGGTAGTGCCTAAGACCAGGCTCAAAACCCGCGGACACACTTCTTCTCTCTGGCCTTCTAGTCAGAGCGGAGCATGACACCGGACTATACCCTGTGTTTTTGTTTTTTATATCTCTGTTGTAAATTATTGTATTTTAATGTGATTGCAGTAATGTGTTTTTATTACATGTACAGCACTTTGGCTCGACCAAAAATCGCTTTTAAATGTGCTATATAAATAAAACTTGATTTGATTTGATTTGATGACGTAATATCTGAAATGTGGACCCACGGCCCTATCAGAAACGTTGCTATCAGAAACAATGCCCGACTGTTTTGGACGTAATATGGTCGGTGTTTACATTAGCATCGCTAACACTCAGAGCTAACCTGTACTGGAGAGCATGTGTGTGAAGAAGCAGGAAATAAAAAGGAACTCACCTTGTGGTATAACCGGCAAGAGAGAAAGCCTTTGAGCTCCATACTGTTTCAGAAATAATCCTTGATAATCCATGATATGGCGTTTCATCACGGCAGTATTTAGTTTAGACAGTAGCTGCCGGGTCCCGCATGAGCTCAGACCCCTCCTTTTTAATTTTTTTTTATTTATTTAAAGCTTTATACCCCAAATCAGCACTTTTGAAACAGGAAGTGAAATAGAGGGATATGAGGCATGGCTAGAATGGGTGATCTGTTTGGTATTTTGAGCAAAACACTTCATAGACATGTTTTTTATATATTTGTATATATCTGAGACCTATGCTATTGCCTAAATATAGCATGATAGGTCCACTTTAAATCAGCAGAGATTTCATTTATCAAGTTTAATAAGAGAGAAGAACTCCTGGAGAGCGGAATAATTCAGTTTCTGCAGACATTAAGGACACACCTCAATACATCAGAGGGTCCTTTGTTCTATAATCAGATGTTCTTAGAGAGCTGCACTAACCTCTCCAGAGACTTTGTATTTCTTCATCACCATCCCGGTCTCACAGTCGATCACACAGAGAGAATCTCCTCCGCACGTCGCCACCAGACGACCTCCAGAGCCTGGACATAAAGACAGAGTGAGTTTATGATGTTTCATTTAATTTAATATGAATATTCTGCAGAAAAATGCAACATTATTAGATAAAAAGTAGCTACAGTTAAGTAGATAAGGTAGCATTAAACAGGAATAGCCCATGTGACAGCCCATTTGGAAATGTTTAACCTGTTAAGCCCCGAGCCTGTTTTTCAGAAGAAAATGACATTCCCAGAACAAATGACCATATCTTCCGTTCTAAAAGGGGTAAATTAATAATCTTTTTTCTCAAAGCAATGATAAACCTGTGAGTTGGATGTAGAAAAGTCAGAATCAATATAGACGTTTTTATTTTAAAGTAAAACATAGTTAAAAAAATGTAAATGTCCGTCCAAAAGAAAAACATTACTTATAGTGAAAACCACCCTTGAATGATGGGATAGTAGACTAAAAGCTTTAGGAATCCAAACTATAACATATAACAAGTACCCTGAATCAAGATTGATGCAAAACAAGTGAAATTTGACCTTTTTAGAGAGATTTAGCAACAAACAAACACCTTTGGGGTCATTTGGGTGGAAATGGGTGTATTTGCCGTTTCTCTGGAACCCATTGGTCGATTTTGATGATTGACATCTCTTTTGAACCGTTAGAGCCAATAGAATCGAAGGGAAAGGTCCATACACACACACACGTTACCATTGAGAAGTGAAAGCTATGCGCACGCAGTCGAAAGCTATCTTACGCTCTGAAATCTGAAAACTAGGTTTATTGCTGATGGATTATCAGAAATCATTTCAAAGTGAGAGACACATTGGATTAACCTTCAGCAGCGTTTTTATCGTTTTAATGCCATTGAAGACAACTTTTGATCAGAAAACAGCAGAAGGTAAGACATATTGCCGTGTTTCCTCCGTAATGCTACGTGTTGTGAAGTCTGAGTTATGATCGTACAGTGATGATACTAATACCTGTAGAATCTGTGGAATCTCAGCTTGCTAATCGATATCTTGTTTGTGCAGATCCGATAAGTAATATGGGTATTTTAACGTGAGTTCTGTGCTAAGTGTGTTAGCATTTTTTCGCTCAGGGCTCATTTAGACTTGTGCTTTGTTTCGGTAAAAATGGTTCGTATCGTCAGTTAGCTGAGTTTCTTCCCGTTAAGTGGGTATGACACATTCATAGGTTTTTAAATGTTAAGAAGCCCTGAGACACAGTTTCGTGAAAAGAAAACCCGCAGCTTATTATACTTGACCTGTTAAACCCGCAGCCCCCTGTACCGGGGGCTGCGGGTTTAACAGGTCAAGTATAATCAGCAGTACTTTAGTAAATGCACGTAGTTGCTTTCCCCCTCTGCTACTACCAGTACAAATGTAAAGTGTTATTTAAATCGGCCTTGTTTCTGGAGGATGTACCTGTTTCTGACTGAGGCTCAAAGGCACAGGCCCACAGCTGAGTGGAGAAATCCTCTCTGCTGTCCTGCTTACTGTGACACTGGAGAACATGGAGAGGCTTCAGAGACACCGGCTGAGGGAGAGGAGGAGAGGAAGAGGAGGAGGAAGATGGAGAGGAGGAGAGAATGAGAAGATGGACATATTGTTTTAATAACAGATAGGATTTGTCCTCAAGGAGCACCAGAGTTAACAAGTTACGAGAGAATCTTGGCAAAAAAAAGGACATTCAAAACAACCAAAGGTATGGCAGACTGTAGACTGTGTGTGTGTGTGTGTGTGTGTGTGACACACCTGTGTCTGTGTGTGTGTGTGACCTGTGTCTCTGTGTGTGTGTGTGTGTGTGTGTGTGTGTGTGTGTGTGTGTGTGACACCTGTGTCTCTGTGTGTGACCTGTGTCTCTGTGTGTGTGTGTGTGTGTGTGACCTGTGTCTCTGTGTGTGTGTGTGTGTGTGTGACCTGTGTCTCTGTGTGTGTGTCTGTGTCTGTGTGTGTGTGTGTGTGTGTGTGACACCTGTGTGTGTGTGACCTGTGTCTCTGTGTGTGTGTGTGTGTGTGACACCTGTGTCTCTGTGTGTGTGTGTGTGTGTCCTGTGTCTCTGTGTGTGTGTGTGTGTGTGTGTCTGTGTGTGTCTGACACCTGTGTGTGTGTGACCTGTGTCTCTGTGTGTGTGTGACCTGTGTCTCCGTGTGTGTGTGTGTGTGTTACCTGTGTGTTCCTGCAGCTCTAGGTGTGTGTGTGTGTTACCTGTGTGTGTGTGTGTGTGTGTGTGTGTGTGACACCTGTGTCTCTGTGTGTGTGTGTGTGACCTGTGTCTCTGTGTGTGTGTGTGTGTGTCCTGTGTCTCTGTGTGTGTCTGTGTGTGTGTGTGTGTGTGTGTGACACCTGTGTGTGTGTGACCTGTGTCTCTGTGTGTGTGTGACCTGTGTCTCTGTGTGTGTGTGTGTGTGTGTGTGTGTGTGTGTGTGTGACACCTGTGTCTGTGTGTGTGTGTGTGTGTGTGAACTGTGTCTCTGTGTGTGTGTGTGTGTGTGTGTGTGTGTGTGTGTGTGTGTTACCTGTGTGTTTCCGCAGCTCTTAAATGATGACATCACATCTTCTTTCTGCAGCTCCTCTTTTTTCTTCTTCTGTTTAATCACCTCCACTTCCTCCTCTCTGATTGGCTGAACTTTGGCTCCTCTGCTGGGGGTCGTTGCTCCTCTGACGGGGGTGAGATTTGGGGGAGGCTGGTTCTTCTTTCGGGGGCTCATCCTCACTGAGATGCTACTCTCCGTTAGCATCTGTACTTTACGGTTGGCTTTACGAGGACTGCTTTCAGCCGGGGATTCTGGGAGATCTGAGTGTCGTAGTTTCTTACGAGGCGTCAGACTGATCCTCTCAGAGGGAAGCTGTTTCCTCTTGGTGGAGGTCACTGGGACAACCTGAGGAAAGGAAATACACAAAGTTTAAAACAACTCCACAAATTATTCTTTACAAAACATCTTATGGCGCATTTCCACCATGGCGCGGAGCGCGGTTTAAGCGTGCCGTGTCGGGCCCGTTTTTGGTTGCGTTTCCACTAGGCCTAGTTGCGGCCCGGGGCTACTTTTTCACCTTTTTTCTGGCCCGACAAAATCGTGGTTCTATCGGGGCCAACAAACAGGGCTGAGTCGGGCTGAGTTTGCTAAACTAGAGAGAGAATCGCTGCAACAAGACATATTTGACGGTGATTTAATTGTAATACACGTTTCAAAATGATGCCGAAGTAACAACATACTGATACCGGTTAGTAAAAACCATGAATTAATGCTTTGACAAGTCTGCAGACAGACGGCAGGCGAAAAACCTTTTAAAATGCGTGTGTTCTAAATGGAGATCGGCTAAGCTAACGCAGTATATGCTCCGACCGTCCACACTCACAACAAGGGCCTACAGACATAAATAAACCAGCGACTGTATTCACCATGACACAGGCAGTCTGTGGTGTGTACTTGTTTAACTTGTGTCTAGTTTCTGAACATATATGAGGAGCTGTGAGCTCTGAGTGCTAACAGCTAACGGCTGTGTTGTTTTTCTGGGGTGCTCATTGAAGATGACGTCACGGCGCCGCCTACACTGCGTTACTATAGATACTACCCCAGTTCCTAAACTGTAATGGAAGCGCAGCATGAAGTGAGCCGGCCCTAACAAGGCCTAACAAAACCGTACTAAGTCGAGCGAGGCCTGCGGTGGAAATCATCTCTTTTGACAGCAACGTGTTTTAAGAGGGCTGCTGTGCCTCCTGTCATCATTAACTGACGTCTCTTTAAAATGACCGCTCAGAGGAGAGGATTTCTCATTTCTCTAACCGCCTGCTGCTTCCCCTCCTCTCTCCTCCTCGACTCCTATCCTCGTGTCTTAGTCCCGCCCACAGGAGATGCGAGCGGAGGAGGGAGTCGAGGAGGGGAATTAGAGAAAAGAGAAAGGGCCCGGGAGGATCACTGGAGGGCGTGTTGAACGCTTACTTGAGTCTCTTTGGGTTCAGGAGAATCTTGAATCTCCGGTTCTTTCTTTGGTTCAGTCAGAGAGATCAGATACTCCTTCGCCATGATCTCCACCTGAAGACACAACGTTAATAAAAAAAAAGCCCAAAGACAGAACACACGGTACCATGTCTCCACCCTCCAGATCTTACCCTCCACTTGGTGAAGTCGCTGACGGAGCTGGGTCCGAATCGAACTTGCTGACTGGCTGCGATCACAAAGTCTTTCCTCAGAGCCGACAGTTTCTCCGCCGTGACGGGGTCCGGGAGACTAAAGTGCTTCTCCCAAACTGCAATGATCTGGAATAAATCAAGAGCAGAGACGCTTTTAGAGACTTAGAAAGTATAACACTGGTTTACAGACAGAGCCGTCGTTACATCCTATAGGCAAGGCAAGTTTATTTATACAACATCTTTCAACACAAGGCAAATCAAAGGGCTTTACAGAAAATGCATCATTGGGTTTGTTTCAGCATTATCATCTCACTTTCAGCTGCTCTTGTTATTGATGATCTATTATGGCGCAGTTCCACTGCAGCGCGGAGCTCGCTTTAAGCGTGCCGTGTCGTGCCGTCCCCTTTTTTGGTTGTGCTTCCACTAGGCCAATTACCGGCGCGGCACGGCGCGGGGCCACTTTTTCACCTCTTTTCTGGCCCTAGAAAATTGTGGTTCTATCGGGGCCAACAAACAGGGCTGAGTCGGGCTGAGTATGCTAAACTAGAGAGAGGAGCGCTGGCAAGAGGGCTAGAACTACAACAAGATGGACATATTTGACCGTGATTTAATTGTAATACACGTTTCAAAATGATGCCGAAGTAACAACATACTGATACCGGTTAGTAAAAACCATGAATTAATGCTTTGTCAAGTCTGCAGACAGACGGCAGGCGAAAAACCTTTTAAAATGCGTGTTTTTCTAGATGGAGATTGGCTAAGCTAACGCAGTATATGCCCCGACCGTCCACACTCACAACAACGGCCTATACAGACATAAATAAAGCAGCGACTGTATTCACCATGACACAGGCAGTCTGTGGTTTGTACTTGTTTAACTTTGTCGAGTTTCTGAACAGATATAAGGAGCTGTGAGCTCTGAGTGCTAACAGCTAACGGCTGTGTTGTTTTTCTGGATTTCTCATTGAAGATGACGTCACGGCGCCGCCTACACTGCGTTACTATAGTAACTACCCCAGTTCCTAAACTGTAATGGAAGCGCAGCATGAAGTGAGTCGGCCCTGTTAAGGCCCAACGCGGCCAAGCCGTACCGAGCCGTACCGAGTGTGGCCGAGGCCGACCGTGTAGTGGAAATGCGCCATTAGACACTACAGTCTATCACATTGTAATGATTGTATGTATTACTTCATGAATTTGACTTAACAGACTGTACGTGGTTTGTCATGCTTTGCTTTCTGTTATTTTGTTCATGTATGTCTGTAAGATGTTGCTTTTGTCGGGGGTTTATCCTAATAAATACATTTATATATAAAAAGGCATTTAAAAACAGTCATTAAAAAGTGTGTGTGAGTGTGAGTGACCTGTGTGTGTGTCATGTGTGTGTGTGTTACCTGTGTGTTCCTGCAGCTATAGGTGTGTGTGTGTGTGTGTGGTGTGTGTTACCTGTGTGTGTGTGTGCTAAAGATAATAAAATAAACATTACAAAAAAAACATGAATAAAAGTTACAGTGCCGTGTAAGATATGAATAGATCAATTAAAAGCAGCGGCAAAAATAAGAGGAAGTATTGAGGATAAATATGTTGGACAACAACACGCCATGTTGGATTCACCAACTAACAACCAAAAAACTGGTTGTTAGTGTTTCCTGTTTTGCACACCTCTCCTCTCTCAGGTGTATTTTGAGTGACAGTCTGGGGGTCTCAGGTTGAAAACTGGAGATCATGCCCCACCCCCCCTCCCGGCCTCTCGCTGCGTGCTGATTGGTTCTGTTGGATGACATAATCACTGGGCGCCTGCAGGATCTCTGTACAAACTCGCTGTGATGTCACATCCTGTTTGTGATGTCACTTCCTGTCTCAGCAGCTGCTGGGACCATCATGCAGCACTAGAGCATGCTGGGAGCTGAGGCCGGCAGAGGGGATTGTGGGAAATCAGACCTTTTACTTATCATCACTGACCCCCGTCTGATCGTCATTGTTTGTTTGTTTGTTTATTTATTTATTTAAAGGACAGTGCACATTAATCCACATTGCACTGTTGCATTGTGGGAAACATGTGGGAGTACGCATTAAGAAATGACGACTCACGACAAACGAGTCAGACTGAAGTCATGTGACCGACTGCTCAGGTGTGTGTGTGTGTGTGTGAGCGCTCACTTCTTGGCCTTGTAGACGTAGGCGCTTCCCGACAATGTAAACGTTGTTTAGCTAAAATAATCAATTCTATATTTTCTGTTTCTCAATGTGAGGCTAAATCAGAAGTTCTTTATTGATCCCAATCACTGCTTCATGATGGCCTTCACAGAAGATCTTCTCTGAACACCTTGAAGGCCCTGACGGTTCACCACTGGTATATACATATTTTTATATATTTTTGTATTCTGGATTGTGGGAAACGTGTAAGATATGAATAGATCAATTAAAAAAAATTACGCGACAAACAGAGACACAGTTAGAGACGTTGAGTAGAAAGTATAACAATGGTTTACAGACAGAATACTCTTTCAATCCCATAATAAGAGGAAGTATAGTGGTACCCGTGTCTGGAGGTTCGCACTGTAGACGAAGCGCAGGTGGTTAGCGGAGGACGTGACGTCTTTCCCGTTATACATCCTGAGTTTGGGAAGCAACACCATCAGCTTGTGGTTATCACTCACCTGGGGAGGAAAGATAACACTCAATCAAACACAAGAAAGGTAAAAGGACTGTACTTATATATCTCTCTATCAGGTCTGTTTGACCCCTCAGAGCTCTTTACATACGAGTCATTCACAGCTCATTAGACAGACAGACACACAGAGACACACACACATACACCCACACACAGACATACACAGACAGACACACATACACACACACACAGACAGACAGACACACAGAGACACACACACAGAGACACACACACAGACAGACACACATACAGACAGACACACACACAGAACACACACACTATTTGCTACCTCAGAAATCCAAGTAGAAACCAGAAGCTATTTTACTAAAACCCAGTATCTCATGAAAACTTTTCTATAAGAAGACATTCAGGTTCTCATTTATATATTTGAACATGGGCGTCCTTTCAAAATAAAATATGAACTGATTAAAAATGTTGTATATCACTTTTCGGATCACGCCAAAAAAACACACATTTAGAAAACGTGTCTCAAAATAAATCTGGTAGTTTGTTTAAAAAAAAATGTTAAAAACGAATATTTGTCCCTTTTTGGCATTATGGCAACACCAAAAATAACCAAAAGATTAAACAAATTATTCTCAAAACTGGTTGTTAGTGTTTCCTGTTTTGCACACCTCTCCTCTCTCAGGTGTATTTTGAGTGACAGTCTGGGGGTCTCAGGTTGAAAACTGGAGATCATGCCCCACCCCCCCTCCCGGCCTCTCGCTGCGTGCTGATTGGTTCTGTTGGATGACATAATCACTGGGCGCCTGCAGGATCTCTGTACAGACTCGCTGTGATGTCACATCCTGTTTGTGATGTCACTTCCTGTCTCAGCAGCTGCTGGGACCATCATGCAGCACTAGAGCATGCTGGGAGCTGAGGCCGGCAGAGGGGATTGTGGGAAATCAGACCTTTTACTTATCATCACTGACCCCCGTCTGATCGTCATTGCACTGTTGCATTGTGGGAAACGTAGGCATGGAGAGTACGCGTTAAGAAATGACGACTCACGACAAACGAGTCAGACTGAAGTCATGTGACCGACTGCTCAGGTGTGTGTGTGTGTGTGAGCGCTCACTTCTTGGCCTTGTAGACGTAGGCGCAGCGCTTCCCGACAATGTAAACGTTTAGCTAAAATAATCAATTCTATATTTTCTGTTTCTCAATGTAAGGCTAAATCAGAAGTTCTTTATTGATCCCGATCACTGCTTCATGATGGCCTTCACAGAAGATCTTCTCTGAATACCTTGAAGGCCCTGACGGTTCACCACTGGTTTATACATATTTTTGTATTCTGGATTGTGGGAAACGGTATTTCGATCTCTCTGTCTGTACACACAAACTGAAAGATTGACAATAAAGTTGACTTAGACTTGTCTTTTCATGCTGCTGCAACGCAAACATTTCCCAAATTGGGATCAATAAAGTGCTTCTTATCTTATCAAACACAGAGATATCCTCCTGCACTCACGGTGATGTAGAGGTTGTCCTCCAGCTTCAGCTCCTCCAGGCCGCTCAGAGCCTCCAGAGACGTCACGTCCTCCATCTGGTTGTCGCTCAGATCCAGGTGTCTGAGCGCAGGAAGCTCCAGGCGGCGGGGAAACTCCTCCAGTCGGTTCCCAGAGAGATCCCAGCGCTCCAGGGAAGAAAGACGGGAGAGAAGAGGCACCGGGAGATCCTCCAGTTTCAGAGTCAGCTTAGAGAGGCTGGGGAGAAGAAAGTCAGTCAGAAACCAAACTTTGTTTAATTATAATTAACAATAATAATAATACATTTAATTTTATAGCGCTTTTTAACAAGGTCTTTAATAAGTCTTAAAAAGGTCTTAACAAGGTCCTAAAAGGGTACTAAAAAGTTAATAAAATGGTCTTAACATACATTTAATTTTATTGCGCTTTTCCTGGTGCTCAAAGACACTTTACATCAAATCAGAAATAGTACAAAGAAAACAAAAATCAGAAACAGTAGTCCTAATCCAAGTGTGAGTAAAACAGTGATGTTGCGTGAGTGAATAAGTGAGTTAATTAGCCCTTATTAAACAAGGACCATGCATCAAACAAGACATTATTCTTTAAGAAAAAGGGGACGATTTTGCATTAAAAAATAGCTTTTTTCTACAGTTCTTGGGCATGTATAACCACAAAGCAATCAGCATACACTAGAAAACTTAACATATCAAATATAAATATACAAATACCAGCACATTTCAACTTTGAAATAACATCCCTTTTGTTTGTTGGAAACATGTTTTGCTCCTTGGGAAAGAGAGTTTAGGTCTTCAGTGCAATGACGATTCTGTGTAGCCAAACTAACTTTACAATATGGGTCAAACGTGGGGTTCCTCTACCGTATAAGTAAACAAAAAAACACAAATGTATTGTGTACTTTGTACTTTATTCATGTGTGACAGAAATGTTTGCAAAGCTAAAACAAAGGTAGAGAAATGTACGATTAAATACATTATGTTTTCTATTCTAGTGCATCTTATAGGTAGAGTAACGGTGCAAATGTAACGACATGTCAACAAAACAAACTTACTTCAGGGCCTTGATCTTCTCCAGTTTGGTGGCTTTTGGAGAGCCTTTCTCCAGCAGGAGCTTCTCTGTTATCTTCTCCATGATTATCTGAAGAGTTAAAAACCCTGGAGAGAGAAACAACTGTTGAGAATAGTTTCGGTGTTGAGTCCTCCCGTGGGACTGAGGTCTGTTTCTCCTCTGTTATCACTGATGGTGCGTTCAGGTGCTTTATAAACAGCAGGGGGTACCGACCACACCCTGAGTACTCACACGTGAAAACAAAGGAGTGAACGAGCAGAAACCTAAAGGTCTTTCTCTCATGGGGTCTGAGTGGTGGGCGAGGTACTCAGGTCTTTTATAAAGCTAAATACAAAATATTACTCCATTTGACTAGCTGTATGCTACTAAAGATAAAGGTAAATTATTTATTTTACTCCACTACATTCATGTAAAAGATTTGGGTCATTTCAGAAGAATTTTCCTTCATGAGGTGATTAATTTCGCCGGTTCAAGTCCCCGACCAGACCTAAAATATGGAGTGTGGACTGCTACTTGGAGAGGTCCCAGTTCACCTCCTGCCCTGCCCCCCTTGAGCAAGGCACCGGACACCCCCCTTCCCCCCTCACTCCCCGGGCGCTGTACAATAGCTGCCCACTGCTCCTAGTGCTAGACTCCTGGTACTAGGATGGGTTAAAAGCAGAGAACACATTTCACTGTGTGTGCTGTGTGCTCTGCATGTGAGACCATTAAAGAGGGTTTCATCCCTCCCTATTCTATTCTTCTATTCTAATTTGTGCATCAGAACTTTTCCTGTAAAATCTTAAGGAAGAGGATTAGGGCCACATGACAAACAATTGTGGGATGGAGATAACAAAAGTTTGGACTCTAATCTCAGCATTCTGACTTCAATCTCAGAAACATATATATAACAAAAGCCTTTTCTGGAAACAAATATATGTGTCTACTCTTAGTCACAGGCCCTGATCCTCTTCTGTGTAAATCTGATAATGACATAACTATTTATAATAATAAATCACGTATGAAGGACATCTTTCTTCACAACCAGTACTGAAGTATAAACTTGATCGCAATACTTCTACTAGAAACAAGAGTATTTTGACATTCATATCTACTTTTCCTAAAGTAAAGGGTCCAAATACTTCTGCTAACACTGCTGTTGTTGTTTATTGTATAAAAAGAGCCTAAGGTTACACCATGGCACAGTTTTGAGGATTAATAGAATCGACAACAACACGCCATGTTGGATTCACTGACTCACATGTATTTGTATTTCTACATTACAACGTAAAAACAGTCAATAAACAACTTCATATTGAGTTAAAGAGCAGATTCAGAACATTAAACGTCCATAGGAACACTTTAAGTTAGTGTCTTTTCCAATATTTGCAGATAAATGTACTTACCGGTGCTTCTTCTGTAACTTTAGTAATGAAATCAGTATCCTGGAAACCGAGCTTTCGCGGGGAAAGTCTACGTACTTCCGGTGGGCGTGGGTTACGGTGTAATAACAAAGGGCTTTTTCACCCTGAGCTTAGCCTGACAGGCACTGTGTAATTCCCACAGGCCATACATTTTACTATCACAGTGGTCAAAGGTGACCAAGTGGATTTATTTAGTAGTGATTTTAAGATACTTGTTCTTTGCTTGACTATTTCAATGTTGTACTACTTTATACTTCAATTCAACAAAGATTCAGAGGTTTTTACTACACATTGTAATTACTTTTTAGTGCTAAAAATAATAAAACTCAGAACACCTTCCTTAAAATTGTGCTGAAGTAAACTACTTGAGTAACCCAATAAACAACAACAAAAAGTGAATTAATCCACTAAAATGGAAATATGATTCATAGTGTGTTGAATTCATAGCCCAAACGGTTCGGTAGGTGGCGATGTTGACCTTTTCAAGGCAGGTTCTCTACCTACATACTAACAGTAGAAGAAGAAAATGCAAAGGAGTCAGGACAGCCGTAGAAGAAGAACATGCAGGATGACGGCTCTGCTTCATGCGCCTGTAAAGGCATCCGGCGGTGTTTAAAGTGTGAAAATGTGAAGGGAAAAGAACAGCTGGAGACAAATGAACCTAAAGTAAGCATATCTGTGTAAAAACTGTGTTTTTATCAGCAGGAAACAGCTGTATTCTCAGCTAGCTTCACTTTAAAAAGAACTACGGAAGCCCTCAATGGACAGTCCACATTTTATCAAAACACAAGTTCTCGTTAAAATAAATCACTTTTCCTTATTATTTTATGTTTTTAAACATCAGTGGTTGTCTAAGGATTAAAATATCTTACTTAAATAATACCACACAGTGTAGAAATATACCAAAATATGACCACTGTAAAATTATATACATATTTTCCGTGAACATACCAAAAGTACTTGTGATGCATAATTGCACCTTTCTAAATAATGCTCATTATATTTTATTGTATAATGAGTGATGTATTTAAGCATCACTAATGTTGCAGCTGGTAAAGCTTTCTATAATACCAGCTGGCTTGATCAATATAACCACAAGATACGTTATTAGTTATTAATCATAATTAGTATGTATTTTTGGTACTTTTAGATGCTGGGATTTTTACTTTAATAAGACTTTTAATGCGGGTCTTTTACTTGAGTATTTTTCCACGGTGGTACTACTATTTCTACACGAGTACATGGTGTATTAAGCAACCAGTCATGCCAACATGAATTACTCTGTAATCTGAGTTTTTCCATTTTAACTGTATTGTAATATTATATTTTAACCGTACTATGTATTATTTTGTTGACCTGTACTTAAATCATGTTTTATAAAGGTGTGTGTGATAGAGATTATGCAATGTTTTTAGTGTTTATTGATTGTTACGTATCTGCCTGAGGACTGCAGATAGAAATGAGCTATTAGCTAAAATCTGGCATAATTCATCTCTTCTCTTTTCTGAGATCTGAGATGCATGGTCCTTGTAGAAATAAATACATAATAATAAACTTATTCTACACTGCTGACTGTTTATTATTGACAGTCTTGCATATATTTGCCACTGTCTGAATAGAATATCAGTAAGGCCATGTCTTACTGTTGTAATGTAAATTGTATTATCTTGTTTCTGTCTCTGAAGGCTGTGCATCAGTTCCTGTACGATCCTGAGACGAGGCTTGCTGTTCCCAGAGATGCCGACTCTTCGTGCTTCTCTTTCCCCGGAGTCTTCCTGCAGGAGGACTTCATCTCCGAGGAGGAAGAAGTGGAACTGATCAGGACGATAGATCGAGACGTTTGGAACGACTCGCAGTCAGGACGCAGGAAACAGGTGAGAGACTTCTGAACGTCATCTACAAACAGTATGAACATGTGTAGTTTGTTTTTGGCTTTAAAGGTCCCCTATTACAGTCTTTATCAACAGTATATCACAGGTCTCAGTTATATACAGAACATGTCTCACCAAACAGATCATTGCAGAATCCCATAATCCCCTCTGGTTGTTGTTGTTATTATTATGAATATCTGATGAATTAAACTAAAGTATTTGTTTCTTATCGTTGCAGGATTTTGGTCCCAAAGTTAACTTCAAGAAGCAGAAGGTGCGCCTCAGCAGTTTCTCTGGACTCCCTGCTGTGAGCCGCTCTCTGGTCCTCCGGATGCAGAGCGAGGCGTCGTTAGAGGACTTCAGACCGGTGGAGCAGTGCAACCTGGAATACCTTCCCCAGCGAGGGTCCTCCATCGACCCCCACCTGGACGACAGCTGGCTGTGGGGTGAGCGCCTCGTCACTGTCAACATGTTGTCAGACACTACGCTCACTATGTCCCTGGAGGAGAGGCTTAAAGAGGCGGGGCTTGAAGGCAAGTTTATTTATATAGCACCTTTCAACACAAGGCAATTCAAAGTGCTTTATGTCGTGTCAAATATTCATATAATTCAAATATGTTTATATGTTCATTTTAATTAATTTCTTATTTTACAGGTCACCTATTATGCAAAATCCACTTTATATGTGTCCCCTCTGTGTAAAGAGACTCTGAAAGTTTCAGAAAAAAAGATTCTCTCTCTTTTTGTCCTGATCCATTTATATAAAAACCTGTCTGAAAATGAGCTGATCAGATTTTGGCCACTTTATGATGTCATAACGATGTTGTCTTGTGTAACCATTAGCCAATCACCAACCAAGGTAACCCCCCCACCTTATCACCTGAATCTCCACCTAGAGCACCACTGTGTTCTTTGTAACCAAATATCTCTCAGAGGGGCGTGGGGAGGGGCTCGTTATTTTCATCTAAAGTAACAGACAGAGAATCAGCACTTTTGAAACAGGGCTGAAACAGAGGGGATTATGGGATGCTGCAATGATCTGTTTGGTGTTTCAGCCAATGAGAGACAGGTTCTGGATATTGATGAAAAACAGTATAATAGGGGACCTTTAAACAGAAAAACATCAAGTGGAAGGCAGGTTATCACCTCTTTGTGTTAGGTGTGTGTCCCATTTTTCCCAGAGAGCTTCACCTTTGTCTCTTTCTAGTCTCAGGCTGAAAGTCATGTGTTCCATACTGTGAATGTGACATTATTCTTTTAATCCTAGTAGAGGAAGTCCAGGTCTCCGTGCTTCTTCCTCGGAGGTCGTTGTTGGTGTTGTTCGGAGAGGCGAGACACCGATGGAAACATTCGATCCGACGGGAAGATATTCAGGATCGCAGAGTGTGCAGCACCTTCAGAGAGCTGTCGGAGGACTTCCTGTCGGGGGGGCGGCACGAGGAGATGGGGGCGAAGCTGCTGGACATCTCACTGAGCTTCAGAGGGACGCCTGTATAGAGACGGCTCAAATACTATGTTTGTTCCTGGGACATTTTTATTTTTTTGTATATAATTAATTTGGTTAAAGTGTTTTTATTAATATGGAAAATGTGGGCATTGTACTGAAATATTTAACAAATAAATTGGATTGGAACATTAAGGAAACAAATTATAAAAATACAATAAATAATGTATATAAAACAGAGATTTAAATGGAAAATGTCTGACTTTTTTTCTCAGAAACTCAAGGTTTTTTATATATTTTTTGTCACATTCCTTTCTCATGTGGCCCTGATCCTCTTCAGTTTTCTTGCACCACTGGATCTCATGTTGATATATTTTGTAGAATAATAATAAAAAAATAGTGATTTTGCTCCATTTTCAATGCCAGTTTTCCACATGACCGTACCTCTCCTTCTGCTACCGGCCTCATCAACAAGACCCCCACTAACCCTCAGTCCCATCATAGACTCTATATTACATTAAAGGTGGGGTAGGTAATACACTTCAGAAACACTTTTTGTTATATTCCATGGAATGCTCTTAACATCCCGATAGCAATGAATATATTAAATGCTTTGACCAAAATCTGTGGAAGCCGTGGCGCTGTAAAAAGCACGACCAATCATCTGAGCCCGGCTAAAATAACTGGCTGGCCTACCTGCCTGTCAGCCTTCCATCTGTGCACAAACTTATCTCGTGCCCTCATTGGCGTGTTCGTGTGTGTTGGAGGAGGGGCTCTGTAAGGAAGTCTGAAGGAAGGGGCAGATTGTTTTTGGTTGTGTACTTTCAAATTCTAGCTGGTTTCTCCATTCTTACCTAAGGCCGAATTTACCATAACTGAGGCGTGTGGCGCAGTGGGTTGTGTGTAGGTGTTTGGATCAGGGGGTCACAGGTTCAAACCCCTCTGCAGTCAGCATGTCGTTGTGTCCCTGGGCACACTTCACCCCAAATTGCTCCTGTGGGGATTGTCCACAGTATTGAGTATGTAAGTCGCTTTGGATAAAAGTGTCTAACAAGTAACATGTAATGTAATGTAAAAAATAATAATGTTGTGTCCCCCCCAATGTTGACTCAATGGTTACGGCCTTGTTACCTACCCTACCTTTAATAAGACAATCATAATAATAATACATTTGATTTATATAGCGCTTTTCCTGGTGCTCAAAGGACCTTTATTAATCCCCGTGGGGAAATTAAGCAGCAACAGAGTGAGATTGAAAAACAGGACAGCACAGATTCACACAAGATTAATACAATCAAAGGTACAATTAAAATAATAAACAGGTAAGTAACTGTTAAATGAACATATACATATCTTAACACTGTCAGTCCTGCACAACCCTACGAACACATTGCACGTTGTAACGTGATATTTTTTTAATTATTTTTAAATGTTTACAGCGTATATCTATTTTTCATCCATATTTAATGTCAATATTGCAGTATTTTAATCACTTGAATAGTTGCATTTTATGCTCCTTGTCTTATATGCACCATATTTTATACACTAAGAAGGTTTCTCTTTTCTCTAATTCCCCTCCTCGACTCCTATCCCGTCTTAGTCCCGCCCACAGGAGATGCGAGCGGAGGAGTCGAGGAGGGGAACCGAGGAGAGAGGAGGGGAAGCAGCAGGCGTTTAGAGAAATTAGGAACCTTCTAATGCTCCTATATGTAAACCTACTTTGGCAATAAACCTTGTTTGCGACTCTTTTATGTTGAAGGCCTTTGCCGGATATCCGGGTCCGTTGGCTGCTGCTCAACTTGTTTGTTGATCGAGAGGCGTTATTATAACAACCGGAGTTTTATTATAAGCCGGGTTCATTTCTCGGGGGATTATAAGCGTCTCTTCCCCGGAGGAGGTGTCTCTTCCCCGGCTGAAGATTCTCCCCCACAGGGAGAATGAATTAAACCCTTTATTTCGCGACAGGAAACTAAGCAAGAGGCTTTTTTTTTTTCTTCTCCTCCAGATGTAGCATGTTAGCTAGCATGTTAGCTTGTTCAAACGGCCAGACATTATGACGTGTTAGCGACAGACAGGAGGGAGAAGCAGCTCTGGTTCTTGTTTAGCGACGTGTCAGGTTTATTCTCCCCGGTTTTGAGGCCTCATCGACGGGGGAAATGGCCGGAAACCCCCGCAGAGGAGCCGGATTTATCGGGCTGATGAAGGACGCTTTTCAGCCGCAGCAGCCTCTGCAACAGCCCGCAGTGGTGGAGAAGAAGATGGTGGAGAAGTGCTGGAAACTCATGGATAAGGTACTGGGAATACTGGGAATATATCATGTGAGAGGTGATGGAAATGTATGGATAAGGTACTGGGAATATAAAGGTACTTGGACTATACTGTTAAAACTGCTGGAAACTCAGGGTTAAGGTACTGGCAATACTGGGAGTATAATGTTAAAACTGCTGGACACTCATGGATAAGGTACTGGGAATACATGTGAACAACACTAAACATGGAGGTGACAATGTTTTCATCATTATTATGGACAAATGCACAGAGTATTCAGATCCTCTCCTTAGGTAAAAGTAGAAATGCCACACTTACAACTCACTCATTGTCACAAGGTACCGCAAATAATGCTACAATAAACCCTAAACATGGTGGAAATGAGTGACAGGATGAGCTGTTCTGCGGCAGAAAACAGACACTTCTCTCGTCTTCATCATTATTATGGACAAACACAGAGAGTATCCGGATCCTTTTTGGCATCTAAAAGTCCTGCATAAAGTAAAAGAGAGAATAATTAGCAACATGCAGCCAAGGTGTTAAAGGTCCCATGTCATGGCCATTTCTACTGATCATATTTCCATTGTTGAGGTCTACTAGAATATATTTAAATTGTGCAATTTTCCAAACTCACATTGGTTTCTCATACAGCATCTCTGTATAGTATGTGTATTCACCAGGTATTCACTCTCTGTCCTAAACGGCTTGTTGGAGCTCCTGCCCCCCCCCTCCCTGTGAGCCCAGTGTGCTCTGATTGGTCGGGACGTTGCGAGGCTCGTTGCTGCTGCGAGGAGCGGACAGGCTTCCGGGTCGGCGATACAGCGAGAACAAGCGAAACTCATCCTGAGCACACACAAACACTCACAGCCGAAGTAAAAACAATAAGTGTGGCTTGATGTTGAGTAAGAAAAAGGTTTATAAACGCTGTGAGAATGGGTCTGCGGAGAGCATTTCTCCGCCATCCCAACTCGTCTATTACCAGCGTTCAGGGAGCTCTATGCAAGTCAATGGGACTCCCTGTTAGTTAGCCAAGGGATCCTGGTGTGTGAGGTGCTCCGCGGATTGGTCCATTTGGGCCAATCCGGTCATTTGTTATTGATTTGGGTGTTCACACGTCACAGAACCCAGGAAGCAAACAATGGAAAAAGAGAAATGTCCAACGAGGCGTTCTGGGGCAGCATAGACAGGTCTTTTCTGTGTTAGAGTTTTACTCGCTACAGGGTGCACTTTGAGGGTTTGTGACTCTGCAGACCGTTTACATGCAGAAAAACCTTCATAACACACAAGGCGACGGGTAATAACCGGAAAAGCATGACATGAGACCTTTAACTGTAAAAGCAGCCAGTGCAGGTCAATCTAAATAAGTAGTATATAATAATAAAATAATATATACAGTACAGAAATGTTAATATGTAAAGTACCCCAGCTGTGAGATACTTGTAGTGAAATAAACAGTACAATACTTCCCTTTGTGTTGTCGTGGAGCAGAAGTATAAAGGGTCAGTAAATACATTGAGTAAATATGTACTTAATTGAATTCAAACACTGGCAAAAACATGTTATAAAAAACATGGAAGTGAAAATGGGTGTAAGGTCAGTTATCAGTTGTTTTGCAGCAGAAAAAAAGTTCACTTCCTTCTTCTTTATCGTCTTTATGAGCAAACACATGTCTAAAGCTGCCGGGTACATGTAGAAGAGTAAAGAATGACATTAAAAACTACTTGGTTAAAATCCACCACTGCTAATCAGACTGATCTAATTAAATAACGCCAAAGTGATGTAAGGAATGCACGTTTAATAGTTATAATTAATGTAGAGTAATGCAAATATTCGCTGCTTTTATTACCTCCTACTTCCTCTTACTGTGTTTATGTTTTCACCAAGCTTACTTAAACCTGATTCTGATATTTATGCATATTTGTTTGCATTATTTCTGTATGAAAATAGATAAAACCCCTTAAATTGGAGTACTATAATGTCCCTTAATCATTACTTAAGTGGGGTCATTTATAGTGAATTAGCCACGTAGCATTAAATGAAAATCTACCATCCATGTCCTGTTGTTTGTAGATTTGACAATTATATTCCCTGAACATCATTAAGCTTGTAATTGTATATTTATCTGACTACTTATACACACTAAGACATATCATAGCGTAAAAGAGTGTATTATATTTAATAAACATTGTATTATATTTCAGAGTAAAAAAAACGTTGCTCTATTTCAAACATAAAATAAAAATATCTACATAATCAGAGAAGTTAAAGTGAAATATAAAATGATGTATATATTGCAATATATACAGAAGTCTGTAATACTATTTTAAATTATATTAATACTGAAAAATCGATTATTGCTTTGAATATACAGTGTAATAGTATTAATGCCCAACTGATGTGAAGAATGCACATTTAATAGGTTGAATTAATGCACATCAATTGATCTTGTTCTGTTCAATTCAGATATACTGCACATATTTTATTCGCCATTTTTGTTTTAATAATAGACTTTTAAGCCGTTTGAAGAAAAAAAAGAAGTTAATTATTTGCTCCTTTTATTTTCAGCGCTTACTTCCTCTTACTGTGTTCATGTATTCACCATTTGTGTGTGTGTGTGTGTGTTTGTGTGTGTGTGTGTGTGTGTGTGTGTGTGTGTGTGTGTGTGTAAGTGGTTTGTGTGGTTGTAGTGTGTGTGTGTGTGTGTGTGTGTGTGTGTGTGTGTGTGTGTGTGTGTGTGTGTGTGTGTGTGTGTGTGTGTGTGTGTGTTGTGGTGTGTGTGTGTGTGTGTGTGTGTGTGTGTGTGTGTGTGTTGTGTGTGTGTGTGTGTGTGTGTGTGTGTGTGTGTGGTGTGTGTGTGTGTGTGTGTGTAGTGTGTCGTGGTGTGTGTGTGTGTGTGTGTGTGTGTGTGTGTGTGTGTGTGTGTGTGTGTGTGTGTGTGTGGTGTTTCCATTGCCGCCTGTCACTTTTATTTATCGTCTCCTCGATCTAATCTGATCAGACAGGAGAGGAGGAAGAGGACAAGAAGATGATAAGACAAGCGTTTAAAAGATTAATTCAGAATGACTGGAGGGAAACGAGAGGCGGTTATCAGATCAGACAGAGTTTACAATAACATACACAAGCTAATAAAACACCAAAAAAATCCACACACTGATTCTAGCCTCTGCAGACCATTGACATGCACTAAGTGGTGTAGAAACGCAGTGCCTTTTTTAACTATGTTGTGCAGAGAAGTGGTTGTTATGCTTCATTTACACCTGCAGTGTGATCATGTGGTGTTCACTGACCCCCGGGCCCTTTTACTGTTGGACGTATTAAAACTGTTTGTTTTTGTAATACATCCAGTCATATGCTTCCTCTTAGCACTGGATATAGTTCTGTTTGATTGCACTGTTTATTACCATGCATTAAATATGTATTAGGATGATGATAGATTATATTCAAACAGTTATAAACTCAGGAGGTTTTATCCGAGAGTTGTGTAATCTTTGCATACATTTGTTTCTTCTTATGTCGTTTTCCAGACCACATCTCCTCCACTCTGTTCCCTTTAGTCCCTGAAGTAAACAATACATGTGTTATAAAAGGTCACGTTGTAAAGCAAACATTAACATGCCTCAGTTTATTTAAACAGCACCTCTAACAACCAGGAAAGTGCTTTATAAAAACATATTTCTGAAACAGTATGGAGCTCAAAGGCTTTCTCTCTTGCCGGTTATACCACAAGGTGAGTTCCTTTTTATTTCCTGCTTCTTCACACACATGCTCTCCAGTACAGGTTAGCTCTGACGGACCGTCCACACAGCAGCGTTAAAAAATCTTGAAACGCTTCTGCCCATTCACTTTGAATGGGGTGACGTCACTTTCCCTCACTTTTCGCCGAACTGCATTGTGGGCAGGCGAGCGGAGATTTTCAGGATTTTCAGGATTCAAAGTTGAACAATGTTCAACTTTTGAAGCTGAGGTGGAAGCGTCAGCCAATCAAATCCCGTGTACGCAAATCTGACAGTTCAAGCTCTAGCCAATCAAACGGCGTGTATGCTGGGAGAGACATACCGCAGGTCATTTCCTCATATTCCAAAAAATGGAGGAGAAATTAGCGGTAGGGAATCACCCGGTGCTTTATGACCAGTCCCTATTTACCTACCGGGATATAAACCGGAGGAGCCAGGCATGGAGGGAGGTGGCAGAGACAGTGGTATGTTTTCGCCTGTTTGGGGAGTTTATATCCAGTTTACTTCAAACTTTTTTGCTTCGTATGTCGGGGGCGGGAGATTCATGTGATTGGTTGTTGGTGCCTTGCTCGCAAAAAATTCCCAAGCTTCAGATACGCCCACCTCCAAGATTTTTTTTAACGCTGCTGTGTGGACGGGCCGTGAGTGTTAGCGATGCTAATGTAAACACCGACCATATTACGTCCAAAACAGTCGGGCATTGTTTCTGATAGCAACTTTCTGATAGTGCCGTGGGTCCACATTTCCGATATTACGTCATATTGGACGCAAATCTGGATCAGCTCCGTTGAACCCCCGTTTTTAGAGATTTGGGTACGGAGGAAAAGAGAGAGGGTTTTATTTTCTGACGCTGCGTGAGTTCCCTGACACACCGGGGACACATACTTATGTATAAAAGACATAAAAAAGGGCATTTTGCATGATAGGAGACCTTTAAGACATAGTACTAAAATCTCTTCAGGTTGACAACGAAAAACACGCAAAAAAACCCTGACTTGAGCAAAGGAAAATGCTGAGTCATGTTAATGCTAAAACACTACTGTTTATATTATAATAAACACATGTTACATATATGTTGTTCTATATTGTACAATGTGCATATCTTTAATTTAACTTCTTATGTCAAAATAAATATTTAATATATTTTATGCATTTTGTATTTGTATTTTCTTATGTTTTTTATATTATTATTCCTCCTTTTTACTCTAGCCTTTTAAATAAAACATATTATTTATTATTGGACATTTCTACTTTAATTTCTTATGGTCGTGTACTTATTATTTTTGAAAATAATTGTATTTTATTGTATATTTTTCTTGCTCATTTTTACTTGCTTTTTATGTTAAAGTTCACCTATTATGCAAAATCCTCTTCTTCATGTCTCTTCTACATCAACATGTGTCCCCTCTTCTTCATGTCTCTTCTACATCAACATGTGTCTCCTCTTCTTCATGTCTCTTCTACATCAACATGTGTCCCCTCTTCTTCATGTCTCTTCTACATCAACATGTGTCCCCTCTTCTTCATGTCTCTTCTACATCAACATGTGTCCCCTCTTCTTCATGTCTCCTCTACATCAACATGTGTCCCCTCTTCTTCATGTCTCTTCTACATCAACATGTGTCCCCTCTTCTTCATGTCTCTTCTTCATCAACATGTGTCCCCTCTTCTTCATGTCTCTTCTACATCAACATGTGTCCCCTCTTCTTCATGTCTCTTCTTCATCAACATGTGTCCCCTCTTCTTCATGTCTCTTCTACATCAACATGTGTCCCCTCTTCTTCATGTCTCTTCTTCATCAACATGTGTCCCCTCTGTGTAAAGAGATTCTGAAAGTTTCAGGAACAAAGATTCTCTCTCTTTTTGTCCTGATCCATTTCTATAAAAACCTGTCTGAAAATGAGCTGATCAGATTTTGGCCACTTTATGATGTCATAACGATGTTTTGGCTTGTCTAACCATTAGCCAATCACCAACCAAGGTAACCCCCCCCCCCCCCCCCCCCCCTTATCACCTGAATCTCCTCCTAGAGCACCATTGTGTTCTTTTTAACCAAATCTCTCTCAGAGGGGCGTGGGGAGGGGCTCCTTATTTTCATCTAAAGTAACAGACAGAGAATCAGCACTTTGGAAACAGGGCTGAAACAGAGGGGATTATGGGATGCTGCAATGATCTGTTTGGTGTTTCAGCCAATCAGAGACATGTTCTGTATATATCTGAGACCTGTGATATACTGATGAAGAACAGTATAATAGGGGACCTTTTAATATGAATATATATATATATATATATATATATATATATATATATATACTTTCTTTTTTTTATTGGACCTTTTTACTTTAACTTGTTATGATCTTAGGAATATTTCTACTCCGTAAATATAAACATTTTATTTTATATTTTTATCGCACTTCCTATATTTGCATAAATAGTTTTTATTTGTATTTTCTATTGAACACTTTCCCTTTTAACTTCTTATGTTATTTAATTTTTTATTTAATTTAATTACAAAATGTAAGCAACTGTCCCGCAACCCACTTTCCCCTGGGGAATAATACATTTTTAATATTCATTTTTACATATTTGTTGTTCTTATTTACTGTGGTACAACGTGCATATTTATAATTCAACTTCTCTATGTTTGTACAAATATTTTAATTCTAATTTAATCTTAGAATTCAACGTATAAAACACAGCAGCTGTCCTGAAACCCATTATCCAGGATAAATAAATATCCTTTTTCCCTTTACAGGTGGTGCGTCTGTGCCAGAACCCGAAGGTGGCGCTGAAGAACAGCCCGCCCTACATCCTGGACCTCCTGCCCGACACGTACCAGCACCTCCGCACCGTGCTGTCCCGATACGAGGGCAAGATGGAGGTCCTGGGGGAGAACGAGTACTTCAGGGTGGTGATGGAGAACCTGACCAACAAGACCAAGCAGACCATGAGCCTCTTCAAGGAGGCCAAGGAGAGGATGTACGAGGAGAACTCACAGCCAAGGTACTGTTGTTGTTGTTGTTATTATTTATTATTAATAAAAACAAGGAGAACTCGCAGCCCAGTTATTATTATTATTATTAACAAGGAGAGGATGTAAGAGGAGAACTCACAGCCAAGGTACTGTTGTTGTTGTTGTTATTATTATTTATTAATAACAAGGAGAGGATGTACGAGGAGAACTCGCTACCATCACCTACAAACTCCTCCTCCTCACCTACAAGTCCCTCCATGCCCTCTCCCCTCAGTACCTCACAGATCTCCTCCACCCTAACGGCCCCTACACACGGCGGCGTGCGTTGAAGCTTCAACGCTTCTGCCCATTCACTTTGAATGGGGTGACGTCACACTTTGCCGAACTGCATTGTGGGAGCAAAGCTTTGCTTCAGACACGCCAGCCGGCAAGCTTCAACGCACGCCGCTGTGTGGACGGGCCGTTACTCACTCTCCCCCCCCACTTACACTTCCATTTCTGCCCCCTGTTTTATATTTGTTTTATGTTTTTATGTCTTGTCCTTGTATGTTTCTTTGTAAAGCGACCTTGAGGTTATGAAAGGCGCTATATCAATTCAAGTTATTATTTATTATTATGTACGAGGAGAACTCACAACCAAGGTATATTTATTATCGTTATGATTTATTATTATTATTAATAATAAAAACAAGGAGAACTCACAGCCCAGTTATTAAAATGTTTAAATTATTTATTAATTATTCAAAATGAATTAGAAAATGACTCTTTATTTATAGATAAGTATCGGCTAATATGGTTTTTGCTAATTATACTATTTATTATTTATATTTGTCTGTATTTAAACAGGAGAAGCAAACATGTTCTATCTGTTTGTTAAAGTCTCATTTCTATATGACGCATTTCCTCCTTCATGCACCACCTACTAATCTGGAGCATCATTGAGGTTTCTAAAACTGTTCCGTGGCTCAGATGAGATCAGTGACGTGTGCACAAACTGAAGAAAACCACTGAAATGTTTCTGATAAATGATTCAACTTTCGCAACTTCCCTTTTTCTCAGAAAGTCTTCAGTCAGCAGATCTCCTTCCTTCCTCTGATTTCATTTCCTCAAGAAACACTATTTTAAGATTCACTAATAAATCCGTCCTCAACCAGAGGGGAAGAAGTACTCAGATCTTTGAGTACAAGTAGAAGTACTCAGATCTTTGAGTACAAGTAGAAGTACTCAGATCTTTGAGTACAAGTAGAAGTACTCAGATCCTTGAGTAGAAGTACTCCGATCCTGTACTTGAGTAAAAGTAGAAGTACTCAGATCTTGTACTTGAGTAAAAGTAGAAGTACTCAGATCTTGTACTTGAGTAAAAGTAGAAGTACCAGAGTGTAGGAATACTCTGTTACAGTAAAAGTCCTGCATTCAAAATGTTCCTCAAGTGAAAGTAGAAAATGATTAGCATTAAAATATACAATGACTACTTAAAAGTAGTCATTGTGCAGATTGGCCAATTTCAGAATAATATATATGATATGTTTTATAATGATTGATCATGAAAGTGTTCTCAAAGCTGGTAAAGGTGGAGCTAGTTTGAATGACTTTGTATACTGCAGGGTAGCTTGAGAATTTACTCCAGGTGGAACTAAAGTCTGATTTAACACTTGATTATATTTCACATCATTCATCCACATCTGTAAAGTAACTAAAGGTATTAAATACATGTAGTGGAGTAAAAGTACACCATTTACCTCTGAACTGTAGTGGGGTAGAAGTACAAAGTAGCAATACATTGTAGTAAAGTACAAAAACCTCCAAATTGTACTTAAGTACCTGAGTTAATGTACTTAGTTACTTCCCTCCTCTGACCACAGCTTTTCAGAGTTCTGTCAGTGATGAAGTGTATTTTTTTTGGATTTATTTATTAACACATATCTGTTTCCTTTCGTCTCTCAGGAGGAACCTCACCAAACTGTCTCTGATCTTCAGCCACATGCTGGCCGAGCTCAAAGCCATCTTTCCTAACGGATTATTCCAGGGAGACAACTTCCGGATCACCAAAGCCGACGCTGCCGAGTTCTGGAGGAGATCCTTCGGAGACAAGTCAGTTTTATTGTCATTGCACTACATTTAAAAAAGCAATCCTGAGTGTGCTTTTTCACATATTAAACAATAACAGTTACTTTAAAGGGGACCTATCATGGAAAATGCACTTTTTGATGTCTTTTATACATAAAGATGTGTCCCCGGTGTGTCGGGGAACTCACGCAGCTTCAGAAAATAAAACCCTCTCTCTTTTCCTCCGTACCCAAATCTCTAAAAACGGAAGTACAACGGAGCTGATCCAGATTTGCGTCCGATATGACGTAATATCGGAAATGCAGACCCACGGGCCTATCAGAAGGTTGCTTTCAGAAACAATGCCCGACTGTTTTGGACGTAATATGGTCGGTGTTTACATTAGCATCGCTAACACTCAGAGCTAACCTGTACTGGAGAGCATGTGTGTGAAGAAGCAGGAAATAAAAAGGAACTCACCTTGTGGTATAACCGGCAAGAGAGAAAGCCTTTGAGCTCCATACTGTTTCAGAAATAATTCTTGATAATCCATGATATGGCGTTTCATCACCGCAGTATTTAGTTTAGACAGTAGCTGCCGGGTCCCGCATGAGCTCAGACCCCTCCTTTTTTTTGTATCAATTGTTTATTTTTTAAAGCTTCTACATAAAATCAGCACTTTTGAAACAGGAAGTGAAATAGAGGGATATGAGGCATGGCTAGAATGGGTGATCTGTTTGGTATTTTGAGCAAAACACTTCATAGACATGTTTTTTATATATTTTTATATATCTGAGACCTATGCTATTGCCTAAAAATAGCATGATATGTGACCTTTTAAGTTGGCGTTTTAACTCTGGGAGGTCGATTAGAGAGTTTTTCTTACTCTTACAAGGATATCTCCAGAACGGAATATAGTTTAGTTTTATCGTCAAAGGCTTAACAAAGCTCAGCTCCAGACCTTTTTAAAACACTTTGCAAGGCGTTCGTACCAATTTCAGAAGATTTACAAGCTGTCCTAGGAAAACAGTGTTTTTTTAGAGGCTTCATGAAGCTTATAAACAGACAATGGATGTTTCTGGATGTATTTTATGATTATTTATCCGTGTTGAAAGCAGTTTTAGGGTTAGATAAAGAGTTTAGATATCATCTTCAATCCCATGATGCATTGCATTGAGTCTGTCTGACGAATCAGGTTTTTTTTCTGATGCAATGACTGTTGAAATATTTATTCAGCGGTGCGCTGTTTGGAGATATCTGGACAAACAGCTGATTTTGCGACATTGTTTATTTCATTTTTACTTAAAAAATATGACGCAAGATGCAGATATAGTTAAGGGGAAACCCTCACACACTTATTTTGCAAAGTAAACATGATTAATAAAACAAAACAGAATTGATCAAGCTCAGGATTTTCAGGTCATCACAAAGATTTAGATTAGATCAAATATACTGTATTAACTTTTTCTTCTTTACATAACTGGTACGCATGCGCGGCAAACATCTGAAATGCGTACCGTCACTTGTGTCACCCGCGCACACACTGGAGAACTGCGCAAAATCAGCTCGCAGTTCAATAGCACCCCGTCGACGTTCGCGACACAGAGGGCTTCATCACATAACTTTGCGTGGGGCCACAAGTTGGAGTAGCAAACACTGTCTCTCCTGGTACTCATCTGAGTACCTCACTAAGAAAGTTATATGCACCCCTGATAATAGACTAACTTACAACTACTAAAGAAATGTAAACCACATGATATATACATTAAAAAGTGGGAAATGTAATTTTAATGCAATGAAGTCAAGTTTGAGTAAAATGTGTACAAATTGTTCAGGGTTTTTTAAGGGACATTTTAATTTAAAGGTGTCCTATCATGCAAAATGCACTTTTTTATATCTTTTCTACATCAATGTGTGTGTCCGGTGTCAGGAGACTCACAAAGTGTCAGAAAATAAAACCCTCTCTCTTTTCCTCCGTACCCAAATCTCTAAAAACGGGAGCTGATCCAGATTTGAAAATAAACTTAAAGCACAGGCTATATATGCATTAAAAAGTGGGAAAAGCAGTTGTTGATAACCATTTGTATGCAATGAGGTCAAGTTTGAGTAAAATGTGTACAAATTGTTCAGGGTTATCTAAGGGAAAGCTTAATTTAACTCTGTTTCTACCTTTTTAATTGGTTACCTGCTGTCTGATCGCTTTAACTTTTGGATGCATGGTATTCAGACTATAATGATAAATTCCTACTGACCCTGAACCCCCCTCTGATGTCCTTCAGGACCATCGTTCCCTGGAGGACGTTTCGTCAGGCGCTCCACGAGTTTCACCCCATCAGCTCGGGGTTGGAGGCGATGGCTCTGAAGTCCACCATCGATCTGACGTGCAACGACTACATATCCGTGTTCGAGTTCGACATCTTCACACGCCTCTTCCAGGTAAACACTTTTAACCCCTCACTGATGATCTGTAAAAAATGTTTATCTATTTCAGCACTGAATCCATTCTTCACATTTATACATGTATACATTTTTTGAAATGACTAAATTGGTAGAAAGCTGCAGACTTTCAGAATATAATTCCTGTCTGGACATCCTAAAATAGGAATAGGGCATTATAGCTTTTCTGTGTGTGTGTGTGTGTGTGTGTGTGCGTGTAGCCATGGTCGTCTCTTTTGAGGAACTGGAACAGTCTGGCAGTCACTCACCCCGGGTACATGGCCTTCCTGACGTACGACGAGGTGAAAGCTCGTCTGCACAGATTCATACACAAACCCGGCAGGTGAGACACAAATATCATATTCTATTATTACGACATAAAACACGTGAGTAAATACCCCACTGGTTAGTTTAAAAACTGCGGTTGCTAACAAGTGTCTAAATGAGACGACTAAACGTCATCACGCCCAACATTAGCCTTTAGCTTAGCGGTAGTAACGTGAAGTCATGTGACCGTGCTGTAGTTCCTTTATAGCCCAATATTAGCCACCTTTAGCTTAGCGGTGGTGACGTGAAGTCATGTGACCGTGCTGTAGTTCCTTTATAGCCCAACATTAGCCACCTTTAGCTTAGCGGTGGTGAAGTCATGTGACCGTGCTGTAGTTCCTTTATAGCCCAATATTAGCCACCTTTAGCTTAGCGGTGGTGACGTGAAGTCATGTGACCGTGCTGTAGTTCCTTTATAGCCCAACATTAGCCACCTTTAGCTTAGCGGTGGTGACGTGAAGTCATGTGACCGTGCTGTAGTTCCTTTATAGCCCAACATTAGTCACCTTTAGCTTAGCGGTGGTGACGTGAAGTCATGTGACCGTGCTTTAGTTCCTTTATAGCCCAACATTAGTCACCTTTAGCTTAGCGGTGGTGACGTGAAGTCATGTGACGGTGCTGTAGTTCCTTTATATCCCATTAGCTTTTTACTATAGAAATCACAACGTGGTGTTAATATCTGGAGATTATCCTGCTGATCTTAACTTGTAGGTATGTTTGTAATGTGTTTTTCTCGATCGTCTCCTCCCTCAGCTACATCTTCAGGCTGAGCTGCACTCGGCTCGGTCAGTGGGCGATCGGCTACGTGACGGCGGACGGGAACATCCTGCAGACCATCCCTCACAACAAACCCCTGTTCCAGGCCCTCATCGACGGATACAGAGAGGGATTGTGAGTCCGACTGCAGTACAGAGACAATTTAGCAAGTCTCACATTATAGGATACATCAGTATACTAATGATGGCTTCAAACATATATGAGAGTGCCACAATGACTCCGGAAAGCTGTGTTGTTTGTTAATATCTTAGGGAATCCTGCAGATGAATGTTTACCAGAAAAACAAATTGAATATTCTGCACGAGGGAAAACTCTGACGTTAAAGCGATGAATGCATGTTAAAAATAATAAGAATGAAACTTAAAAAGTGGAAGGTTTGTCAGGGAACAACATCAAGGTTAGATTAAACTGGAAATGCCACGTGCGCAGTTTTGTGAGGACTCTTAATCCGATTGCAAAGTATTATTTGATGATGTCATCCTCTACAGGTGTAATGCATGTGGTGTTAGAGGGTTTATCCAGCTTTGCAAAGGGAATTAATGTGGGCCTTAAAGAAAGAAAACAGACCTTTAACAATTAGATTTGTCTTGCAAATGAAGAACTGAGTATTCTGAAATGCTTCTCTCAGCTTTACATATATAATATATTATATACAGTATATATTTTATGTATTTTATATATATATTTGTGTGTGTTCTCCAGCTATCTGTTCCCCGACGGTCGAGCTCAGAACCCGGACTTGACGGGTCTCTGTGAGCCGTCTCCACAGGACCACATCAAAGTTACTCAGGTTTGTGGACCTCATTGTTAGGATACAGTTACTCTATGGAGCTTTTATTTTGAAAAACAAGCCGCCTCCTGACAATTGCTAGGATACCTTTATGCTATGGAGCTTTTATTTTTGAAAAACAAGCCTCCTCATGAGCTCATTGTTAGGATACAGTTACTCTATGGAGCTTTTATTTTGAAAAACAATCCTCATGAGCTCATTGTTAGGATACAGTTACTCTATGGAACTTTTATTTTGAAAAACAATCCTCATGAGCTCATTGTTAGGATACAGTTACTCTATGGAGCTTTTATTTTGAAAAACAATCCTCCTCAGCTCATTGTTAGGTACAGAAACTCTATGGAGCTTTTATTTTGAAAAACAAGCCTCCTCATGAGCTTATTGTTAGGATACAGTAAGACTTGGAGCTTTTATTTTGAAAAAAAAGCCTCCAGGATACAGTTACTCTTTGGTGCTCTAATTTTTTAATATAATTTAAAGTTGAAGAGCTGTGCTGCTTTTAAAAAAAGGTATCATTGTGCTGAAATGTGCCACATCCATATAGTAAATGTTAACAACCAATACTTTCAAAATAAAACGCCTCCTCTTCCTCTCCCTCTGCAGGAACAGTACGAGCTTTACTGTGAAATGGGATCCACGTTCCAGCTCTGTAAGATCTGCGCAGAAAACGACAAGGACGTGAAGATCGAGCCGTGCAGACACTTGATGTGCACTTCCTGTCTCACCGCCTGGCAGGTGAGAAAACATTCAAGATTTCAAGGCTTTTATTGTCATTTGTACAAAGCTACAGTGTAGATAGGGCAGAGAGGGAACAAGTACACACATCCTTTACTCAAGTAGAAGTACAGATACTCGTGTTTAAAAATACTCTGGTAAAAGTAGAAGTACTGACTAAACTTCTTTACTCAAGTAAAAGTAAAGAGGGCTTTGAAATGTAGTTAAGTAAAAAGTACCCATAACTAGCAGCTGTTTTAAAGAGTACCTGACCTCCCTTTATGTTAATAGAACAATAATGTCATTGTTAGCTAATGAATGTTTCCATGCTGAACAACGGCAACATGACAACGTTTTCATTGGTCCCTCTTCTTTAGAGAAGACCAGGAAATGATGGATACACGGATCGTGTTCAAATCAATAGGCACGCAATGACTCTAAATAATAATGATCACGCCACCAAACACACATTCAAACTAAAGGAACCAGCCTGTTTGGAAAATGTAAGAAGTAGAAAGTACAGGTATTTGTGTTCAAAATGTAAGAAGTAGAAAGTACAGGTATTTGTGTTCAAAATGTAAGAAGTAGAAAGTACAGGTATTTGTGTTCAAAATGTAAGAAGTAGAAAGTACAGGTATTTGTGTTCAAAATGTAAGAAGTAGAAAGTACAGGTATTTGGGTTCAAAATGTAAGAAGTAGAAAGTACAGGTATTTGTGTTCAACATGTAAGAAGTAGAAAGTACAGGTATTAGTGTTCAACATGTAAGAAGTAAAAAGTCGTCAGATAAATAAGTAGTGGAGTAAAGTACTGATGCCAGAACAATGTACTTAAGTACAGTAACAAAGTATTTGTACTCTGAAATATATCAATGACAATCTGAGGTCACAGGCTCCTCCAACAGAGCAACACAATAAAACAGATAAAATAGTGCAAGAAGAGTTTATACAAGTCATTGGAACACGATATATTAGATAAATATTTTTAAGTTCCACACAGATGAATGTTATGTATGTTCTTTCAAAAGATAAACCTTTATTAGTTATAGAAACAGCTGAGGCTGCACACACACACGCACGCACACACACACACACACACACACACACACACACACACACACACACACACACACACACACACCGTTTTATTACATTGTTTACTTGACTCCGACTGTCACAGGGGACGTCCATATTTCTTCTTTATAGCTTTAAACGTTTACTCTATATCAATATTGGCTCCATTTATAGCTTGTCTGCCTTTTTAGTGTTTTTTATTAACTCACCTGCATTACAGAACAGTGAGATTTTCATTTCAAAATAACCTGTAATTTCCTCATATTTTACAAAGAGGTGTCATGCGTTTTCTTATCTCATCAAAGTGTATATTTATACAGGAGTAATTCCATCAGTGTCTTTATCATACTCTTCAGTTGTTATCTGAAATTGCTTCCTTATTGCCTTTTAATTTCAATCCCTGTAAAGATACTGCCACCAAACATTTCCTGCATATATCTTTTTCAGAATAAAAGCCTTTCCCTTTGCGCGAAAGTCATAAACCCAATTTAACACTTTAAGGCTATTTATTTGAAGCAAGAAGTGTGCGGTTTCTTTAAAAAGTGTTTCCGTTAATTTCTATGCAGTGTTTTCCGATATTGATTTATTTGCAGATGCCAGCCAAAAAATCTCAATGTACCACCTTTATTTATTAAGAACAACAACTGTTATGGCTACGTTTGGCCAACACAGAGAATCGTCCTTTTAAAAAACACACACACACACACACACACACACACACACACACACACACACACACACACACACACACACACACTCAGACGCACACTGTATCACACACTGTATCACACACACTACTAAGATAAGAAGTATTTTATTGATCCTAATTTGGGAAATGTTTGCGTCGCAGCAGCATAAAAAGACAAGAGATTGTACATTAGAGACTAGAAATAAACAATCCAAATTTTAACCGTCTCAAAGAGAAATAAAATGGCATTAATAAAGTAAAAAATATACATATAATAATAATACATTTATTTTGTAAGCGCTTTTACAGGTGCTCAAAGTCGCTTTACAGAGGTAGTGAAAAGGACAACAAATACATATAGTAAAAGTCACATTAAAATCGAGCAATAAAACAACAATCACACATTTAAAGGCAGTTTGAAGAGGTGAGTTTTTGTATGTGGAAAATACAAATGTACAGAAAGAAAATATAAGCAGGATATTAGAATACATTCATTTAGCAAGTAATGGATTATTATTAATACTAACTACTTCCTGTGTGTGTTTCAGGAGTCGGAGGGTCAGGGCTGTCCGTTCTGTCGCTGTGAGATCAAAGGAACGGAGCCCATCGTGGTCGACCCCTTCCACCCGAAGTCTGGCGGGGTTTCCTTCGCTGGTTTCCAGGGGTCCAGCAGAGCGGAGGCAGCGGCCAATGAGGAGGAAGAAGACGACCGATTGGACGAACATCTCCTCATGAGCAGGCTGGCCTGCAGCAAGGTGGGAGGACAACACACGCACGCACGCACGCACGCATGCATGCACACACACAGACACACACACACTCACACAGACACACACACACACACTCACACAGACACACACACACTTGTACACACACACACACTCACACACACACACACACACACACAAAGAGACATACTCGTACACACTCGTACACACACACACACACACACACACACACACACACACACACACACACACACACACACACACACACACACACACACACACTAATGTTGATTATAATCCAGGAATAACAATCACCTCGTCTGGTCATCTAGCTGCTGTCTTTCTTTGACAGGAGTTTAGTGTTGACATTTAACCATGTAACACCTCTAAATGTGTGTGTGTTTGCAGGTGGAGCGCCCCCCCTCTCCAGTGTCTCAGCTGCCTCCGGTGCCCCCCCGACTCGACCTCCTGCAGAGACCCTGCAGCTCTCAGGGAGCAACAGCCAAGGTGTGTGTGTGAGAGAGAGAAACTCCTAGACATTAGCTTATTAGCACAATGCAACTATCTCTCATCCATCACCACAGACCTTATTTTAGGCTAACCACCAAAAACACATTCAGAAAACCATTGACTTCCACACCAGGGGACAGGAAGTGGTCATTTAACACATTTATTTGTATTATACTATATGAATAGTCTTTATTTATTCCTGCTCCTCTCTCCTCTCATATTTCCAGATCTCAGCGACACACAGAGATAAGCCCCTCCCCCTTCCCCCCGCCCTCAGAGAGCTGCCCCCCCCTCCCCCACCTGAGCGTCCCTCCCCCTCTCTGATTGGTCAGGACTGCCGGCTGCAGAGGAGGCCCCTCCCCTCGACCCCCGACCAATCAGCATGGGCCTCAAACTACATGGTTCCCCGCCCGGCAACCAAGGTCCTGCCCCCCCCCTCCTCTGTCTCCCCCTCCCCCCCCAACGGAGACGCCATCAAACCTCAGGCCGCCACCAACGCCGTTTACTGCCTCGCCGCCAGGTAAGAGAGGAGGGGGAGGTAAAGAGCTCCTATTATACTGTTTTTAGGCATATAGCATAGGTCTCAGATATATAGAAATGTATAAAAAACATGTCTATGAAGTGTTTTGCTCAAAATACCAAACAGATCACCCATTCTAGCCATGCCTCATATCCCTCTATTTCAGCCCTGTTACTAAAGTGCTGATTCTGGGTCTGTATCTTGAAAAATAAACGTTATATTATGTTCCAAACCACATCAAGGATTATTTCTGAAACAGTATGGAGCTCAAATGCTTTTTCTCTCGTGAGTCCCTTTTTATTTCCTGCTTCTTCACACATGCTCTCTCCAGTACAGGTTAGCTCTGAGTGTTAGCGATGCTTGCTAATGTAAACAAAGACCATATAGAGTGGCGAAGTCACGCCCACCTACTTCCGGGTAATGGGACCTTATTTCGGAAAAATTATGCATTGAAGTCAATGGGGAGAGAAAACTTATCTTTCGATCCCGTTTGAATTGTGCCATGAATTACACATATGATGTTTGTCAATCTTAAAAAATGATTTCCATGTCAAAAAAGTCACAGTTTGTCGTAAAACTGTTGAAATATAAGACTATGAAAAATACGCAACTAGAAAGACTACAAATCCCAGAGTCGCGTAAGTGATGTCACAATTGTTTTCCTCCACCATTCAGATACCTAAGATCAGCGCAATATAGATATAATCTATCTATATGGCGCTGGCTAAGATAAGATAACTTTAACAAGATGCCTGTGTGCTTAGTACCAGGTTGTTATTATACCAGCAATGGGTCTTGCTCGTTCTTTTGCTTCCCGTCTGATGAAACGACCAGGAGTGGCTTGATCAAGTTAGCTACCTAGCTAGTAGCTAGCACGTTAGTTAGCATTACAGCCTTGTCATTTTTATTAGCCTTAACATGAAGTAACATTAAGTAACCCAAAATGTTAAACAGTAAGAGTAGTAGTCATATTTCGTGAACCCTTTGAATAGTACTGTCACCGGTGTGATCATTCTATAATACACAATTTAAGCCCGGGGGGAAATGCTAACGCTAATGTTAGCATCGGCGATCTTCTCTACTTCATGCTATCTGCACAAATGGTTGACATTAAACATTAAAACGACCAGGCAGTTCAGAGAGAATCAAAGGAAGGCAGGCAGGCAGCTTTGCATCACATTCTTCAGGACGTGTTTCATTGTAGTGATAGTGAGGGTAGTCTCTTGTGTTGACAAGACAGTAGTGACGGCCATCTTGGTGACGTGTGTTGTTGACCAGAGATGTAGTTCATTGAGCGTTTCACACAAACAAATGTGTTACTTCACAGTTTTACGACACATCTTTATTTTTTGACTTGCAAAATTATCTTTTAAATTGACAAACATCATATGTGTAATTCGTGGCACAATTCAAACGGGATCGAAAGATAATCTTTCTCTCTCCATTGACTTCAATACATAATTTTTCCGAAATAAGGTCCCATGGAGGTCCACCGGAAGGGGAGGGACTTCGCCACTGAATTACGTACAAAACGTCCCGCATTGTTTCTGACGGCAACGTTTCTGATTGGCCCGTGGGTGTAAAGCCCGCCCACATTTTAGTAATGTGGTCATGACTCAGCAAATCTGGATCATCCCCGTTGTTCCCCCGTTTTTAGAAATTTGGGTACGGAGGAAAAGAGAGAGGGTTTTATTTCCTGACACTTTGTGAGTCTCCTGACACACGGGGACACATGGTGATGTAGAGAAGACATCAGAAAGTGCATTTAGCATGATAGGAGACCTTTAATGTCTTATCAGGAACTAGACCTGTCCAACAACTACAAATCCCATCATGCTTTGTGTTTCCTGTATGAAAACAGGTCTCTGTCTGCGATGGCGAGCGCTGAGAGGCCTCCGTCTGACGAGGAGGAGAATGAGTACATGAGCCCCACCTCGCTGCCTGTCTGCGGGGCCGCTTGGGTCATCTCCGGCTCCCTGGTGCCTCCCCCACCCGTCGTCAACAACAACAACCACAACGACGTCAGGTAAACTGGAGGGAAGGGGGTGATCAAATATGTCCTGAAATGTTAAAAACATAGTTATTAAAAGCCTTACTGTAGAAATACTTCCCTTGACCAACAGGAAACTACAACAGTGTTTGACCAACCTCACTGCTGCAGGAAACATACAATTTAAATAACATTTAGCACATTTAATTATATTCTATTCAATTTAAAAGGTTTTATTGTCATATGCACATAAGCTACAATGTAGAAATGGCAATACAATTCTTCTGACCCGAGCTTATATTAGTCTTTATTTAACAAGGACGATGCATAAAAAACTCAGAAGAGAAGAGATGCCAGATTTTAATTCCCTCAGAGCAGAGCTGACATTTGAGCTGTTTTACTCACAACTTATTAGTTTTGTACATTTTTAAGAGATTTAATTGAGCAGTTATGTATGAGGAACAGTATTGAATCTGTCCAGCAGGGGGCTCTGGACCCTCAGGTTTGTTTGTCCTTTATACTACATGCAAATGTTTTTATTCAATACATTTTTACTGTTTAAGAAGTGCTGAAAATGTCCTTTTCTCATAAAAAGGTAATAGATTCAGACCTGTGTTGAGCGGTTTCCAATTAAAGAAAAGTTATAACCACAGAACTTTACTTAGATAAGATAAGAAGTACTTTATTGATCCAAATGTATGCATTTATTTGCATTGCAGCAGCATGAAAAGACAAGGCATTGTACATTAGAGAAATTAAAAGATTAGGAATAAACAATCAAAAATGTCAACATCTCAAAAAATATAAATAAAATGGCATTAAACAAGTAGAAAATATGTCAGTCGATTAAAATAGTTAATCGCGATTAATCGCACATTTTTTATCCGTTCTAAAATCACCTTAGAGGAATACTTTTCAAGTTTTTAATACTCTTATCAACATATGAGTGGACAAATATGCTTTATGCAAATGTTTGATATTATCATTGGAACAATGACAAATATTCTCCTGAATATTCTCAACACAACAAGCTGGAACCACTCTCTCTCTCTCTCTCTTACACACTCTCTCTCTTACACTCTCTCTCTCTCTCTCTCTCTCTCTCTTACACTCTCTCTCTCTCTCTTACACTCTCTCTCTTACACTCTCTCTCTCTCTTACACTCTCTCTCTCTTACACTCTCTCTCTCTCTCTCACACTCTCTCTCTCTCTCTCTCTCTCTTACACTCTCTCTCTCTCTCTCTCTCTCTCTCTCTCTCTCTCTCTCTCTCACTCTCTCCCAACCCTGTCTACTTCTCTGCACTGAGCCAGTTGCTCAAACAGACAAGCCTGTTTACAGTTGTCGGTGAAATGCCGCTCCTCTGTCTTCATAACAGTCAAAGCATGAGACCGAAGTTCCCACTGTGGGTCAAAATAATGCGCTGTGATGTGCAGTCGACACGTTGGATGTGATCCGAATTATCTCACACAGCCCCTCGTCCTCCACAATGTTAAGCTGGAGCCACCCATTTAGCTATCGCTGTTGTTGTCCAGGCGTCTCCCCGACAAACTTTCAAGCGTGGTCTGCCGCAAGCGAGCGGCAGGAGCGGGGCTGTCAGCATCAGCTGTGTGCTTGGCTTGCTGTTTAAAACACCTTTTTTTGTATCCATATCTCTCGCTAGAATCTCCCACCATCCAACTAACAACAACAACAACAACGTCAAGCCTTTGGGCTCTGAAACTACGGGGCGGGCCGAGGACAAATACACATGCGTTAATCACAAATTAAAATAATTAGTGGCATTAAAAAAAATGTTCGTTAACTTGACAGCCCTAGAAAATATACATGTTGAAATACAAATTTACAGTAACAAAATATATAAATATATTTATACCTTTTTAAAGACTAGATGTATGTTAAGAGCAGTCATTAGAATATTAATTATTACTTAGTCTCTTTTTTATTTATTTAGAATTTTTCTTTTAGTTACAATAAAGCAAAGACATACACAATATACAGTAAGTAGGTACCTGAAACCTTTACATGGCGTACAAGGGAAAGAAGAAGCTGGGTAGTACATTGACAATCCTGAGAAGTCTAATGATTACGTCTCTACATGATGTGTCCTGTGTGTGTTTCAGTGAGTTGGTCGACAGCGACTCTGAGGATCCTCAAGTCTACGAGTCCATGTTTAACATCCAGGCTGCTTCCTCTGAGGCCTCGGACCCCGGTAATTATCCTAACTATACTCTATTTCTTTTATTATTTAGGGGAATTATTCAAATGTCCTGATCACACATGCTCACATCGAGCAGGTGTCACTTTAACTTCGTTCTTTTGGGATAATGTGTTACAGGTGCGGTATCAGCATCTACAGAACATTTCAAATAAGCTAAATAAAACAACAAAAATCACTTGAAAACAACAACACTGTACAAGTTCTATATTATATTTACTTTAAATTGTGTATTGACTCAAGCAGGTGTCACTTTAACTTGGTTCTTTTGGCATAATGTTGAGAAAACAAGAGGGAATGTGAAGTTTTGTATGACAGTAATTACAGGTGCATTCTCAGCATCTACAGAACTTTTCAAATAAGCAAAAATGGACAAAAATCACTTTACAAACAACAACACCGTACAATAATAATAATAATATGATAAGAACATACAATTTCTAAGCACTTTTTCAGGTGTTCAAATACACTTTAGGAAATACAATCAAATGTAAAAAGTTGAATTAAAATATTAAAACAACATTATTCACACATAATGTACAAGTTACAAGAGGAGATGTGACAAATATAACTTCAAAACAACCTGCTTTGTACAAGTTACTGATGGCCGACATATTCACCCAACCCCACCCTGTACCAGATGTGAACGTGTATATTATATTGACTCAATTTATACATGTGTATTGATTGAAGTGTTTTTCTTCTCCAGAGCCCCCTCCCCTTCCAGCGGTGGTTCCTCAGGAGAAGGAGGAGGACTCGGCTGAGGAGGAGATCTACGAGTACGACTGTCCGAGACCTATCATCCCCCCCGCCCCCACCCGCAGGACGCTGTCAGACATCGGGGGTCCATCAGCGTCCTCCTTCAGCACGCTCAGCATCGACAGCGCCGTCGAAGCCAGTACGTAACTGTTGGGAAAATAGTGAATGTACTCTTCCAATATCAGAGTACACATGATAACAAAGGATCTGCTCCAAGTCTGGGAGAAAATTCCCCGACTTCTCACTTGATTTATTACCTCAGTAAATCAATAAAAGCTTGTGCTCCCTGCACTTATTCAGCTTATCTCCGCTCAGTCTGACAGCCGTAGTTGGAGGATAACAGTCTCTCACTCACCGGCAGAAACACCCGGTGTCCGACCGGCCGATCTGCTCCAACAAAATGGCTTTTTGTGTCTTTGTTATGATAGTTTCCGTCCGACAGACAAGGCCAAAAACAAGCTTTTCATCCAATTTCTACAGCCACGTCACGGCCGCTTTTCTGAAAAGTTTAACTATTTTCAACTCTGAGCTGCTGCATTAAGATTTGAGTGACCTGTCGTGCTACTTTATACTATTAGTCTACTGTATCTCAAAGAGACGTATTGTACTTTTTACTCTACTACTACTATATACTATACTATAAACTAAACATGCATTCTCTAAACAGTTTGATTGTGTAGAAGTCTAAGAGAAAATTCCCCTTTTTCTCTACCTGAGTAAATCAATAAATCCATCACATTTTATTTATAAACACCACAAAGTACACATCTGTTTCCAGGGGATTTACAACCCTGACAGCATACTATCAGGTACTTGAATGCAACACAATATTTTCTGACTTGTATCTTTGTTTTCCAGGTATGTTTTCAGCAGCAGTGGAGCCTGAACGCCCCCCCAAACCTCTCCCTCGACGAGCAAACTCTGACCGAAGACCTCGTCCCGCAAACCGTGAATTACCCGCTCCGTTACCAGAACTCCCTTCAACCTCTTCCTCCTCCTCTTCCTCCCCTACTCCCCCTCTTCCTATTCCTCTCCCTCTCCCTCTCCCTCTCCCTCTTCCTCTTCCTCTCCCTCTTCCCCTCCCTCTTCCTCTCCCTCTCCCTCCTCCCACCACTCACCCGGGGAACCAGTCCCTGAACGGAGAGATCGAGTGCCTCGTGTCGCAGGGATACTCCTTACAGGACATCCATAAAGCGCTGATGATCGCGCAAAACAACCTGGAGACGGCCAAAAACATCCTGCGGGAGTTTGTTTCCATCCCATCGTCTGCTCACATCGCCACATAGTCACTCCTCTTCCTCTTCCTCTTCCTCACCTGCTGTGTCTCTCCACTCTGTGCCATTATCACGGAAAAAGCATTTACCGAGCACTTTTCCTGCAGGGCCACTCAAGGCCAAAAAAGGCTGAGCAGAAACGCTGCGTTCAGGTAATATCAGAGGAAATGCACAGGAGAGATATCATCTGAGTTTTATTGTGAAAATATATTAGTTTGTTGAACCGATGCCAAGTGTTCGGCCTTGAAGCTTCATCGTTATCTCATTGTCGCAACTTGAAAATTGAGGGGTTTTGTGTTTAAGCTACCGTTTGTAGGTTGGCAAAAAACGTTGACAGAGAAGCCTATGGTGGCCCGGAAGGTCAAAACACAACAAAATGTAACATAAAGGAAAAAGATTTAAGTAAACCTCACAACAGTTTACAAAAACATTTCCCCAAACACAAAAATAATGTCAGGTTTTTGGGAAAATGTCTTGTTTTGACCTTCAGGGCCACCGTACGGTCGGATATGACCTGAACGCAGCACACCTGAGGCCTTCACCGATAAAGAAAACCCAGACAACAATTAACAAAACCATTGGACAAATCACTAAAACATGTCAAGAAACACAACCGACATTTAAACTGTGTTTTGACCTTCAGGGCCACCGTACGGTCGGATATGACCTGAACACAGCACACGTGAAGCCTTTGCAGTTAAAGAAAACCCTGACAACAATTAACAAAACCATTTGACAAATAGCTAAAACATTTCAAAAAACACAACCAACATTTGAACTGTGTTTTCGTTTTGACGTTCAGGGCCACCGTACACTCGATATGACCTGAACGCAGCACGCCTGAAGCCTTTACCGTTCTTAAGCCGATTTTCGACCCCGTTCGTGTTTCCTCTCGAGGGAAATTCGTTTCTGAATCCCACTGCCGTTCAGTTTGGTGCTTTTTAAAAAAAAAAAAACACGCTTCTTAGCAAAATTTGTGGCGTACGAATAATGTAGCGGCGGCGAGAAAACAAGTGGTGTTTGTATGCTGATGAATGTGCAGAATCGCAGGGCTTCATGTCTCCATATTTCCTCTCGATGATGGATCTCTAATGAAATAACAGATGTTTAAGTAACTTGTTGTGCTGTGTGTAGTACTAACAATGGCTGGAAGTTCATTTCCTCATTTAACTCGTCATTTAAAGCTTCTGGTTTCTACTAATAAGCAGAAAAAGGACTTTGACATGTGCTGCTGGATCTCCTCTCACGTCTTCATGTGATTTTTTAGCTCCGCGTCACATTTGTACCCAGCTGAGGAATCAGGTTGAAGGGATTTACATTAAAGTATAAAAGCAGAAGGTCTTCATGTGGACTCAGGTACTGCTTCACAGCTAGGTTTGAATGTAAAGAGAGGAACATATGCTAAAGGACACGTGATATAATGAACGAGCACGAGCTAATGACAAAAACATTCCTAAGATTAGATTTCCCTGCTTCTTGTTACTCGCTGATACAAAGGAAATTCCACAATCCTCTCGACGCCACGGTAAAACAGTTTGTTAGCTTTGTTATTTAGCCATTGGGAGTTAACGGCTGAAAACACCAAAAATATAAAATATATCCAATAAAACTGCATTATACACTCCTTTCTTACAGTTGACATACTTTTTTGTTAGGAATGTAAACAGGTTCCTTCTCCAATATCCATTTTATATGACTGTGAATACATCTTAAAAATAACTTGTGTTCAAGCTGTTAGCAGCTAAGCTAAAAAACAAAACATTACATTACATGTACTTCATTCTACACTCATTGTTAGGAAGTTAAACAGGTCCCCTCTCTGATATCTATTAAATATTTCTGTGGAAACATCTCCTTCAAAACAACTTTATTAATTCAAGTTTGTTAGCTGTTAGCTCCATCATTTAGCTTCCGGCTGACAACAGCTAACGGCTAACAATACAATGCTAAAAAGACATTAGCTTTTAATGTAATGTTCTTCATTATACACTCCTTTATTAAAGTAACACAGGTTCCCTTTGATAGATATTTATTAAACTGAAAACATCTCCTTTTAAAACAACTTAATTAATTCAAGTTTGTTCACGCTGCTAACGGCTAGCAGCTAATGGCTATGGCTAATGGTTAATGTTAATTATAGCTCTCCTGCCGATTTTGAGAGTTTATTAAATATGATATAAATAAAAGTCTTGCATTGAAAATCTTACTGAAGTAAAGGTTAGTATACTCAAAATGTAGGTAACGTACCCAATTGTGAAAAATCATAAAAAGAAATTAAAAAAAACATCCAAAATACATTTATTTTTTAATGGATGGAAAATTCAATGATTTTTAAAAGATGCCATTTTAATCATCCCTCGATTGTTTAAGAACTGTTGGCCAGTTTAATGTAATTGAAGTGGGAGTAAAGAAAATACACAAGTACAAGTATGTCAAATGTGTAGCCTACTTAAAAACTCAACTTGAGTAGATGTACTTCACACAGAAGTCAAACTGAATATTTTGTGTATTTTTCTCAGGTTTTCAGTTTTTTCAGTGGACCAATAACGAGCGTCTCATTTCCATTTTCGCGTTTAAAAACAGGAAGTGTCCCGTCTAACATTGAGTGCAATTTCCTCCCTTTTTCTTTCCCAAAATCCCCTTAAAATCGTCACTTTGGATTTCTGCAGTAACGTGTAAATGTGCCTTCTGTCGACAAACCAAAACACGACACATTTACTGCTTAAATTAAATATACACACTTTCTGTTTCTCCCTTTTTACTTTATTCCTGCAGATATACACTTTGAAGGAGCTGGAGTTTGCAGGCAAAGCATCAGAGGAAATATATATATATATATATATATATATATATATAAGAGCCACATTAAAACTAGATTTATTTTAAAAAGTCAAAATAAATATCAAACCCTCTTTATGTTGTACACAGAGTGCAGCACACAGCGAAAGTATAACTGCATCAAACCCAGTCCCTACAGACAGACAAATGTAATAGTTACGGGCATTGTGACGTAAACAAAAAAAATGCATGTTATCGCCCCCTAGTGGACAACTAATGCGCGATTACAAATGCTTTAAAGTAAAATAAAAAAATGCTTTTATGATTGAATTATCTTCTAATTATGAGGTACTATCTACTCATTCTCATAAACACTGTCATATGTTTATACAGTGAATGCTATATGCAAACGTACTGCAGGATTAAACGATGATACCTCCTAAGGGTGGGGGGATATGAAGATAATGTGGCAAATAATTAAATATTTAGAAAACTAATCCTTGCATTTATAGGATGTTATGAATAAATTAAAATACTAAATTAAGTGCTGTAATATTTGCATTGTTTACATCACTTGTTATTGTCACTAACAAGGAATATTAAATAGAAATTGGCTATAATAATAATAATGCATTTACCTTTTATAAATCAAAACATATGTCTTAATTTTATTCATGTGATAGTACATTATCATCTTTTAACAATAAAAAATATGAGTATGATTGACAAATATTGCCGTATCGCCCGCCCTTAGTTTAGATATCTTTAAGACTGCAGATTTTAATTTGATAAATAAATTGAAAATTAAAATCTGAATCCATTCACGGCCGTCTCCTTGCTATTGAAAATACAATAAGTACTGTATGCCCCCAACACACACACACACTCCCTCACTGATGTCTCAGCTGGTCTTTAATGATGTATTTGTGATATATTAATAACGGTCACTCGCCTTCTCAACTTGCCTACTAAAAGTCGTCTTCATGCTTTGTTGTTGTAAATATGATTTTATTTATTGTCTTTTTAATATCCTCAGCATTCGTTGTGTTGCCATGTTTTCATGCCTAAGCCATTAAGATTTTTAATTAAACAATATTTTCTTTAACATCTGAGCCGTGTGGTTTTTTCCGTCATCACTACAGGGGGAAGAGGCACTACTTTACTGTCTTAGAGGTAGTAATACTACGGTGCAGAAATACTTTGATACTACTACTAAAATGTTATTGATTTATATTACAAGGTATGCGTGGAAGAAGTATTCAGATCCTTAAGTTAAAGGGGACCTATCATGCTATTTTTAGGCAATAGCATAGGTCTCAGATATATAAAAATATATAAAAAACATGTCTATGAAGTGTTTTGCTCAAAATACCAAACAGATCACCCATTCTAGCCATGCCTCATATCCCTCTATTTCACTTCCTGTTTCAAAAGTGCTGATTTGGGGTATAAAGCTTTAAAAAAACAATTGATACAAAATTAAAAAGGAGGGGGCTGAGCTCATGCGGGACCCGGCAGCTACTGTCTAAACTAAATACTGCGGTGATGAAACGCCATATCATGGATTATCAAGGATTGTTTCTGAAACAGTATGGAGCTCAAAGGCTTTCTCTCTTGCCGGTTATACCACAAGGTGAGTTCCTTTTTATTTCCTGCTTCTTCACACACATGCTCTCCAGTACAGGTTAGCTCTGAGTGTTAACAATGCTAATGTAAACACCAACCATATTACGTCCAAAACAGTCGGGCATTGTTTCTGATAGCAACGTTTCTGATAGTGCCGTGGGTCCACATTTCAGATATTACATCATATCGGACGCAAATCTGGATCAGCTCCGTTGTAGCCTCGTTTTTAGAGATTTGGGTACGGAGGAAAAGAGAGGGTTTTATTTTCTGACGCTGCGTGAGTTCCCTGACACACCGGGGACACATCTTTATGTATAAAATACATCAAAAAGTGCATTTTGCATGATAGGTCCCCTTTGAAGTGGACCTATCATGCTATATTTGAATAATATAGTGTAGGACCATACCTATATAAGGCATATTTATACTTTTTTCTTTTTCAAAATACCAAACAGATCATGCATTTTAGCCATGCCTCATTTCGCTCAATTTGCACTTTTTTAGCTCTGTTTTTGCAAGGGCTGATTCTGTGAGAACAGCACCATCTACAGGCCTGGCATATGTACTACAGCGTCTCCAGCGCTTTCGAACGGCAATGGCCGTGGCTGTCTGCTCCTGATTGGTGGAGTTGGCCCAATAGCCGTAGCGCCACTGTCCTGACGTCAGGACAGTGTTCAAATCTGGATCAGTTTTTATCAGATCCGTTCCAGCCCCTTTTTTAGAGATTTGGGTATGGAGGAAAATAGAGAGGGTTGTGTTTTCTGACACTTGGTGAGTTCCCTGGAACACCGGGGACACATATTCATGTATAAAAGACGTACAAAAGTGCATTTTGCATGATAGGTCCCCTTTAAAGTACTAATACCACTGTGTAAAAACTAAAGCTGTGAGATAAACCTATTTGAGTAAAACGTACATTTTAAATATGATATATTGGAAACAAATATCATTTAAATATAGTAACAGACGGGGTGTTTCTCAATGTCGAGGACGCTTCCTTGGTAGGACATGTCTTCCGAGTTAGGTCCTTCAGAAGCGAGGTAAGAATCCTTCCTAGCCTCGGAAAACGAAGAATGGTGGAACAGGCTAACGGGTGTGCAGGTGTGCGTCATATGTGAGGCCCCGCCTTAAATGGAGCACGATTTCCGCCAAAGATTTGGGAAATTGGTCCGTGCGCAAAGCATTGTGGGGATTTTAAGACCGCGGAAGATACACATGTGCAGCCTCGAAATTTCCCGCAACGAAGTACGCCGGCCTCGGTAGAATTCCAAGGATCCTGGACATTGGAACAGTCCTTCGGCGGGACTCGATGACGTAGCATCCTTGAAATAGTGGAGCAGCCTTCCTCGACATTGAGAAACACCCACAGAGAATCAGCACTTTTGAAACAGGGCTGAAACAGAGGGGATTATGGGATGCTGCAATGATCTGTTTGGTGTTTCAGCCAATCAGAGACAGGTTCTGTGTATATCTGAGACCTATAATATATTGATGAAAAACAGTATAATAGGGGACCTTGAAGTATAGTAAATGTACTTAGTTAATCTCCACTTTATTTGACATCAAAATAAAAAGAAAGGTCTCTTATAATTCTGCAGAAATAAAACACAGTCTCTTCAAAGGAAACATTTTTATTTGGCATTATTTTCTTGCAAAAAATATAAAAAAAACGCAAAGATCGAAGAATCACATGAACTTAATTTACACACATTTAGAAAACACACTTTCAAACCTGTGGAGAGAAATCCAGAACGAGGATTTAAACGTCTTCATGAACTCGGTGTTATGGCTTTGTGCACATCAACACGTCCTGAACCTGGATGTTGTTGTTATTATTGTTTATTTACACCTCCAAACAGAACACTACTTTGTTAAAGCTGCAAGTCTTCTGGGCAAAAACTCACACAAGCTCAGAGAGAAATCTGAAATATTCACAACACGGCCTTTTAGTACGAGAAGAGTCAGCGTTTCTGCACGTTTCTGATGATCTGCTGTAAATCAGGATAAATCCAGTTTGGGGATTTAAAAATTAATTTGGAAGACAGATAAATCCCTGATAATCTTTATAAACATTCAAGGTATTTCAAAAGTCTGTTTTACATCCGGAATAAAAATAGAAAATGAATTTCCAGCACAATATTTAAGATTTTTAACCAATTTTTCGGAGATATTTTGTTCTAAGTGTTAATAAATGAGCTTTTTTTCCACATTTTATAACATCTACAGTTTTATATTTACCCTAATATACATACCTTAATGTCATGTTCAAAACTGCCAAATGTAAGAGCTGCAGATACAAAGGAAATGTGTTTAAATGGAAATAATATTGATAAAAAACCCATAAAATAAACCCATGTCTACTTTAGATTTGATCAAAGATTCATGACATGTAATGCAGATTAGCGCTGCACAATTAATCAAAATTGAAATGTAATATTGTAATACAGAGCAGTGCAATATTCAAATTGCATTAAAGCACAATATTTTGTAAATTCAAAACTGCCTGATTTTGCAGTCATCATTTTTTAAAACGTACACACACTGAAACACTTCGTCAGGCCCAACAGTGGAAACACAAAGAAAACACACACACAACTCAAAGTAATAATTCAGTGTATGATGCAGATCTGACCTCTGACCCTCAGTCTGTACACTCGCATGTATTTACACTGGCGGAACAGCAGTTTATTGTGAAAATCCTGCCTTTAAATCTCTTTTCCCGCCAAAATAAGACGGAAATTCTGAGATAAACGCCTCAACATTTGTGTTTTTTTTCTTGTAAAAGTCAATCAGAGAGTGTTTTCCTGTCGACCCCGTGGACACGCATCAACATGCACACGAGCGTGAAATGAAAACCCGAGTGTCAAAATATCTTAAATAACAAAATATATATAATATGTACACTTTCATAGAAAAACAAAAACAAAAACAAAGTCGACGATGGACGAGAGAAACCGCCGTCACGCACTGAGGAAACTTTAGAACACTAATGAAGAACTCAAAGAAAGAAAATACAAGTGTGTGTGTGTGTGTGTGTGTGTGTGTGTGCGTGTGCGTGTGTGTGTGCGTGTGTGTGCGTGTGTAAATGTACCAAACACTAAAAAAAAAAAAGCATGATGGAGTGGTGTGTTACCCTGCAGGTCTCAGATCAGGGGAGCGTCTCACACACACACACACTCATAAGGACACACACGGACACATCCTCACACGCTTACATGGACACACATACACACACAGACACATCCTCACACACTCACATGGACACACACACACACACACACACACACACACACACACACACTCCCCCTGCTGCACCATCAGGACTTTACTGCGGAGACAGAAGAAGAAGAAGTATTATCAGTTAAATGTACTTCAATTAAAGGTAAAAGTACAATTAAAGTACTCAGTATGCTGGATGAGTAATTTTACTTATTGTGTAACGTACAGTCTGTTTTTATCACCAATACATACATGCAATATCATGTGGATGTTGTAGTTGAAACCATTTAAACTACTACTAGTATTGTACATTAGCAGTACAGTGCTGCATCATATCTGATGTGTGTGTGTTTTATATGTGGAAAGTAATTACGAGTGTTAAATTAACAATTCAAAAGTATAGTCAAATGATGCCGAAATAGCACTTAGAGGTATAACTGCACTGAAGATAAAAACATGTTACTGTCCCTTTAAATCCGTTTGCCTCCTGCTTTCATCAGAATGTGTTTTCTGCACGCCAGCGTTTATTTGTTTATAAACATTTAATATTTAATGTTAAAGCCGCTGCTGATGTATTCAATATCCAAATATAAATCAGGAAGTCCAGCTCTGCCCCTCCTCTGATGAATTATCATGTCTCTCCCTCAGGAGGAATTTATATTTAAGCTCCACAAGGAGAGGAGGAAGAAATACTCAGATATTTACTGAAGTAAAAGTAGAAGTACACTACGATTGAAAGTCATGCATTCAACAACAAGTTGGAAGTATACGCATCAAAATATAGTTAAAATACCAAAAGTAAAATAACTCTTTGTGCATTAGTATTTGAAATACTTGCAGGTTAACTGATTTGAATATTTCCATTTCATCTACTTTATACTCCTAAAGTCGGACCGTCTGAACCCTCTGAAATGCAGTGGAGAAATAAACTGTTGGGAAAATACTGAATGTCCTCTTCCAATATGAGAGTAACAAAGGTATCCCAACTGTAGCTGTGTGCATGACAGGATGTATGATTACCTAGAAGAGCATCAGGACTGTTTTAGGCATATGATAGCTGTGTGATTAACATGATGATTCAGCCTCTATGGAGATAGACATATGACAAGCATGATCATTTCTGACGTGGAGCTAATCTGAAGTAAACATTGAATACTGCTTTCTATTCCTCCATCTTGTGACTGTGTAACTCCCTCTCTTGGATATCAGCATGTGAAGGACACTGTTCAGGAACTAGTTGATGCTCTGTATGTGATGACTACTTCCATTCTGGAGAGGATCACAAATACATGGATCCTGAGATTGAAGCTCAAGCCGGGGACCAGTGATATTTTTCTAACATAATGTTATTTTGTTCACCTGGTCGTTGGGTTTGTCTCCGTTGACGGCCTTCAGCAGGACGGCGTCCTCCGTCTTCGTCGTGCTCTTCATCTCCACCACAATGTCGTCTTTGGTCGTCTTCTCTTTGGTTCTGCAGACACAAAACAAAGAGGGTTCTTCATCTGGCATTTCGCAAAAACTGCAGAGGGACAGAATTATCTCAGAGAGAACTGAGGTTAAATGTTTTTGTTTTTGGCGCCAAGAAGGAACTATTTAAAGTCAGCACTAAAAACCACAGAGCAGGAGAGAAATCATGAACCACTTTATGATTTCTGAAGTAAAAAGCGAATGTTAGGCTATAAAGGAACTACAGCACGGTCACATGACTTCACATCACCACCGCTAATTGATTGATTGATTGAAAAGTTTATTAACAGCTTGTATATTGGGTACAGTACAGCAGGGGTTCCCAACCCCCGGTCCGCGGACCGGTACCGGGCCGCAGAGGTGTTACTGCCGGGCTGCGAAATAGCTGTGAGTTTATCGTAATATTTGCAGAATTATAAATATATAAAAATATTTTATCATAATATTTTTAAGCTAAGCTAAAGGCGGCTAATATTGGGCTAAAAAGGAACTACAGCACGGTCACATGACTTCACGTCACCACCGCTAAGCTAAAGGCGGCTAATGTTGGGCTATAAAGGAACTACAGCACGGTCACATGACTTCACGTCACCACCGCTAAGCTAAAGGCGGCTAATGTTGGGCTAAAAAGGAACTACAGCACGGTCACATGACTTCACGTCACAATCGCTAAGCTAAAGGCAGCTAATGTTGGGCTAAAAAGGAACTACAGCACGGTCACATGACTTCACGTCACCACCGCTAAGCTAAAGGCGGCTAATGTTGGGCTATAAAGGAACTACAGCACGGTCACATGACTTCACGTCACCACCGCTAAGCTAAAGGAGGCTAATGTTGGGCTAAAAAGGAACTACAGCACGGTCACATGACTTCACATCACAATCGCTAAGCTAAAGGCGTATAATGTTGGGCTATAAAGGAACTACCGCACGGTCACATAACTTCACGTCACCACCGCTAAGCTAAAGGTGGCTAATGTTGGGCGTGATGACGTTTAGTCGTCTCATTTAGACACTGTGATGTTTTTGTAGTATTTTGTGTATTTCTGTGTATTTCTGAGTACTCACATCTCCTGTTTCCCGGAGCGTCCGCAGGGAATCTTCCCCTTCTTGTGCAGGAAGTAGAGAACGCTGCCGAGGATGGCGAGCAGCAGCAGAGAGAGGATGATGACCACGATGATGATCCCACTGCCCTCTGCTACACACACATACACACACACGTTAATCAATCAAACTTTATTCATACAGCATCATGAACAACTCAAATGCACTTCAATGATTGACAAACATTAGGAAATGTAACTAGTGAAATACTACCAAAACAAAAGACAGTAAAACAGTAGAGTGTCAATAAATACATAATAAAATCCCTGAATAGTATCAGTATATTTGCAATACTATGTGTCTGCTACTTCAAAAGCAGTAACTTTATGTGTAACCACAAAATAAGTTCATTACAGATCAATAAAGTTTTGTTTATTTTGAATATTTTTTGATTGTTTTTTATTTATTTGAGAGTTTTCTGCATTGCGTAGTAGGCCTACTGATTATACCGTTTTTTTTACTTTTTAAATGCAGGAATTGTAACAGAGTAGTTTAGTAGTGTTGTATTATCACTTTAACTGAAGTAAATCTGAATACTTCCTCCCCCTCTGAGTGTGAGTTTAAATCCATCCCAGAATAACCCCAGTTAACAATAGGAGCGTCACAGCTCTGTGTTTCTGACCCTGTTGTTTTTAACTGGAATCTGAAATGTTCTTTATTTGCAACTTTATTTTTATTCCCAACAGACGGGTGAAGCTTTAATAACATCGAGTGACGTTGACATCATTAAAAGACAGAAAATTGCCCCATAATAAATATTCCCTCTGGTATTTAAAAAACACAATAAAACCAAACGACTGTCTGGAAAGAAATCATTAAGAGTGACTCATTTATTGTTCTCACTCAGTATAAATACAATTATACAAAAGTAAACGTAGTATTGTAGTATTTAAGGTCGCATTCACACCAGCCTTGTACAGTCCGGTTGAATCGAACCCTGGTGCGTTTAGCCGCTTGTTGCGGTTCGTTTGGGTCGGTGTGAACGCAGTCCGAGACCTCTGAAGTGAACTAAACAACCAGACTCTAGTCCGCCTAAAAGAGGTGGTCTCGGAGCGCTTGCAAGTGAACTCTGGAGCGGTTCATCTCTGGTGTGAACGCAGTCCGCACCAAAACATAGGAAGCGTAGTATTTACGTGTCACAAGAACGCGGATGTCTTCAAAATCGTTAGTGAAAGAGTGAAGCAGAATGAAGTGTTGGACAGTGTCGTGTAAAGTAAAAACAACTATCAAACTAAAAACTATACCTAAAAGTCAGAGCCACCTGCCGTCGGTGAAACCCCCTCCTGACTGCAGAACGTCTCTCATTATATGTGTTATAATGTTTTGAATCGCACGTTGTCTGATTATATAATCATATGCGCCGTTGCTAGAATCTGTTGATCTCCAGATTAACAACAGCATGAAAATAACCGGCCGATGCTCCATGGCGGAGGCTCCGGTAGAAATTGCCGGGATTTGCGTTTTCACCCCCTTAATGTCTGACCAATGGTTGAACAGCATTTCCGAGCACATGACTTGTGTTTAAAGTTTATAGTCCGTTTGCCTGTGTGAACGCAAACCGAACCTTCTGGTGCGCACCAGAGGAGCGGACTATTAGGTGTGAATGCGACCTAAGATTCACAAATATTAAATCATACATTGGTAAAGTCTATAATTGTTTTGTTCATTTATATTTTGTATTCATAACTTAATTCTGCAAAATAGCTTGCAATTAAAGCCTTGACATAAATGTAGTGGACAAAAAGTATAGAGTAGCATTAAACAAAAAGTTAAAAATAAGGAAATTAACTTTAAATTGAGGCAGAGTTCAAGTACTAAGGGATTAGTAACTAAAGTTGTAAGATAAATGAAGTAAAAAGTACTACGAAGCACCTCAAAGAAGTACTGAAGTTACATTTCATCGCTGCATATATAAATCATATTTTTTGGGATCATTAAGAAATCTGCTGTTGTGATTTTTTATCTTTTTATCAAACAGAATATTTAAAACGCCCTCAGGCCTGAAGATCTGCAGCGAGGAGAAGAGACACACACATGTTCTGCATCATAAATACAGCACGCACGCACGCACGCACGCACGCACGCACGCACGCACGCACGCACGCACGCAAACACACACACACACACACACACACACACACACACACACACACACACACACACACACACACACACACACACACACACACACACACACACACACACACACACACACACACACACACACACACACACACACACACACACACGTCACTGAGTCTGAAGAAGACCACTGATCACTAACACAGAGAGAGGAACACACACACTGCACTTACTACACACACACACACACACACACACACACACACACACTACATGCATACAGTAATACTTTGACATGATGCACACTATCACTCTGCAACACATGTAAAAGGATGAAAAACATCCGTACAACTGACACATACATACTCATAAAGACCAGGTGCATGCTGGTACACAACACACTATTTTATACACACACACACACACACACACACACACACACACACACACACACACACACACACACACACACACACACACACACACACACACACACACACACACACACACACACACACACACACACACACACACACACACACACACACACACACACACACACACGTCTCTGCACTATTTTAAATATTGTAGTTTTTGTCACTGAGTTTTACTACTTAGGTTATTAGATGTACTTAATAAACTCTACATGCAGCACATCTGGCTCGTTGTAACCTGATACTGACTATATAAATCAATAATAATAATATAAATAAAAAAACGTTTGTTTTTAAAGATTGAAAGGATAAAATAGGACCAGAGAAACTATCTTACCTGGAGAGAAGGGAGCCGCTGAGGTCAGTCTGGGAACTGAAGAGAAGAACAACCATTAAGACACACACTTATACACACACACGTTTATACACACACACTTATACAAATACACTTATACACACACACACTTCTAATTTCATTTTAACGCAGCAGCTTTGGGAATTGCAAACATAAATATTCTTAAAAGTCTAACGTGTGCATTTAATGTGTGTGCATTGTGTTAAAAGATTCGAAATGAATTGGGCTCTTTTTTAAACCCCCAATGTTTAAATGCAAAAGTATGGTCAGTGCATTCATACCAAGAAGTACGTATCATCAGCAAAATGGAGGTCAAATATTAAATGCAGAAGTTCCTAATGTGGAAAAGGCTACTATATTATTTAATTTGTATTTTCTCGGTTTGTAAAAACAGTCAAAATAGTAAAAAATACATAATTTATTTCAAAATAAATATTAGAAAAACTAAAAGTTATACTTAAGAAATAGATAATAATCAATGTTCTTTCAATCTATTAAGGGTGTTAGTGTATCTATTGAAGTAAAAAATACAATATTGACCGTTGAATGACAAAGTTGAATAAAAAGATAGTACTTACTGTAAGTAAAGTACAACTACCTCCATGTGGCACTAAGTACAGTACTTGTCTTCACAGATATTACAGAGTAGATGTTGTCTTACTGGCTCTGATGCTGAAAGTCTTGCTCTCCGTCCCCAGGTCGTTGGAGGCGTTGCACACGGCACTGAAGTCAGCCGTCACTAAGACCGAAACCACGCTGAGAGCCTTGTGATCATTAGATCTGCTCACTACCTCCTGATAGCTCTGAGAGACACACACACACACACACACACACACACACACACACACACACACACACACACACACACACACACACACACACACACACACACACACACACACACACACACACACACACACACACACACACACACACACACACACACACACACACACACACAGGTGAGAAACACGTTAAACATCGATGTTGTGTGTCATGACATTTAAAAGATAAGACATCTACAACACAGACAGTCCTAGACAAATATCATGTGTCTGTATACAGAGTACTCAGATCTTGTACTTGAATAAAAGTAGAAGTACTCAGATCTTGTACTTGAGTAAAAGTAGAAGTACTCAGATCTTGTACTTGAGTAAAAGTAGAAGTACTCAGATCTTGTACTTGAGTAAAAGTAGAAGTACTCAGATCTTGTACTTGAGTAAAAGTAGAAGTACCAGAGTGTAGGAATACTCTGTTACAGTAAAAGTCCTGCATTCAAAATGTTCCTCAAGTAAAAGTAGAAAAGTATTATCATCAAAATATAGTGAAAGTAGCGACAGTAAAAGTAGTCATTGTGCAGATTGGTCCATTTCAGAATAATATATATGATATGTTTTATAATTATTGATCATTAAAGTGTTCTCAAAGCTGGTAAAGGTGCAGCTAGTTTGAATGACTTTGTATACTGCAGGGTAGCTTGTGGATTTACTCCAGGTGGAACTAAAGTCTGATTTAACACTTGATTATATTTCACATCATTCATCCACATCTGTAAAGTACAATCCTCTGGGTTATATTAAATATATCTGTGTGTACCTGGCTGCTGCTGAGGCTCCAGGAGAGATTGGGCAGCGGTCGACCCGTGGCCTCACAGCTCAGATTCACCGTCCGGCCTGCAGCTTCCTCCAGCTGGACGTCCTGATCAGAGCCCACCAGCTGAGGACCACCTGCATCAATAAAGGTAGAATCAGAACCAGGTTTATTGACAGGTACGTCTACACACATAAGGAATTTGCTTTGGTGTTTGGTGGTGCAAACACAACATAGGGAAACTAGAGAAGGCAGTTCCTGAAGAAATTGCGGTGTGAATGCTGGAAACGATGCAATTCCCAAAAAGGGGCAATTTGTGTCGAAGCTGACACACAGCTTTAAAAAGTTACAAAAGGCAAAGCCTACTATAGTAATATTTGGATGTGGTATGGTTAATATTTCTGGAAGCTGACTCAGCATTCACACCAAATAAGTTGTAAGAGAAGGGCAGTGCAGATTTTAGGGATATATATAAAAAAGTGCAAAATATATTCAGAGAGATGAAGATGAAATAACGACATGTTGTTTACATGATGTGCATTAAGTTAATGCATAATGTTTTTTGGGGGGGGGTTTTGTTAATGAGGCCGGTAGCGTAAACGAAACCGAAATACAGATTTATATTTGTACAATTTACATTCCAGTGTCATTTAATCTAACCGTCATATTGAACCTGACTCTTCCTGCACAGATGTTTCACATTAAAAGCCCAACAGTGGTTTGAATATCTGTGGTGAAGGTCTTAACTCTGAGGCAGCACTTTATTTGAAGCTCTAGAGATTGACGTTTGGGCACAAAGGACATTAATATCCCAGAAATGGCCTGGAATCAAAAACGCTGCCACAAACCCAACTACAGAAATCCATTTACGGTACGAAGATACTTTAGGGTCAGGTCGAGTATCAAATGTTTGTGGCATCACAGCAGCTCCATTTACAACATCAGTAAACACAGATATTAAAGACAAGAGACCAGGAACTAGACTTTTAACATGTGTTACGTGCCGTAGTGGGTGCTTGTGTGTGTGTGTGTGTGTGTGTGTGTGTGTGTGTGTGTGTGTGTGTGTGTGTGTGTGTGTGTCTCTCTCTCCCTCTCCCCCTGATTGTCTCCCTCCAGGTGCAGCCTCTCCCTCAGGTGCTCCCAATCCCCAATCAGGGCCTCCATAAAGGACCTGAGGAAGGCTGCAGTCTCTCTCTTCCTTCTCCTGTGAGCTGCATGGATGGCAGTGGATGATCTGTGCAGCAGTGTAGTGTTTTTGTTACAACTTATAGAAGTTCTGAGTAGTGTTATGATTTACTGTGGTCGCTTTCTGTCATGTGAAAGTTGTTTTGGGTTTTGTCGTAAGTTTACAAATTGGCTGGTGAGTCTCTTTTTCTTTGATTAATTAAAAGACCATCTTGTGGCTTCACAAATCGGTTTCCTCTCCTCTTTTCTCTCGCCCGGTTATTTTATATTTTGTTACTTCCCTTTGGTTCCCCTAGTCCAGGAGGGAACGTAACAACATGATTTTAAATGTTCAAGACTCTTACTAACATCTGATCTGAGATTAAACTCTGGATTTAATTTGAGGGTGGGCATCACTCTAACATTAATACATCGTGGAGATATGTCTCTCTGATCTGATGGAAACAATTCATTTGACATCTCTAAGCTGTTGACCAATCACAACAGAGCCGACCAGCTATCCAATCAGAGCAGACTGGGCTCTGGTTTCAGGTCTGATTTTTGGGGATAAGAGTAGAAAGTAATGGAAAAAATCTTGGACATTTACTTATTCCTCGCTGTAAAAATACTCTGTTAAAATCCTGCATTGAAACTAATACTAATATTTGAGTAAAAGTAAGTATAATGAGCAAAATCTAGTTAAAGGTTTCATAGTAACCAATGCAGATACATTAAAAATATACATTTTAAAAGACAATAAATGAACTAGAAAGTCTCTTTTAAAAAAAGCTGTTGTCCAAATTAAATACATAATTTCCTTCTTAAACGTTCCTTTACTTAAGTAAATGTACTTGGTTTCAGACAGAGGGTGAAAAGAGGTAGTATGAGAAAAATAAAGATCTTTTTGAACATTAAAGCGTGTCTGACCTTGGACGATGATGTTTACGGAGCCGCTGGTGTGCAGAGCGGGCAGTGAAGGCACCGTGACCTCGCAGATATATTCTCCTGTCGTCTGATAGGTGGCGTCCTTCAGGTGCAGAGTGTTCCCGGTACCCACACGCTTCCCATCCTACACACACACGGTAAACAAAAACACTTAAATCAGGCTAGGAGAGTAATGACAGAAAATAGGTCAGTGGTTGTTCGTGACTATAAATGGGCGACTATAGTGAGATCTTGTTGTCAACAAATATCTACAGTTAAAGTAAAAATCAACATTGTTTCTTTAGTTTCCATGTTGATTGGTCTATCTATTGGAGGACATAAGGAAGGATTTTGTGCCAATGTCTCTGTTTTAAATCCATTGGGCAATTGTGTTTCTAAATTGTGGATTTACAAACTCCACATTTTGTCTGGTTTATCAGAGTAAAATATGGGAACATAGGACAAATCATAAAGTAAAACTAGTCTGTGTTCACATCCTGCAAAATGACTGAAGACCTTTGATACCTCAACAATTGTCCAATGGATCTTTTGCACAAACATTCCCAGTTGTATGTCCTAAAGTCAAACACGTTAAGGATGTGTTCGTGCTGTTTCTTCTTAGCTTTCACAGTGAGTCTATGCACGTTAATGGTAGAAGGAGGAGGCTGTGGCAGTGGAATAGTGCGCTGAACTTTGAATCAGGGGGTAGCAAGTTCGAGTCCCCCTGTCAGCGTGTCGTTGTGTCCCTGGGCAAGACACTTCACCCCAAATTGCTCCTGTGGGGATTGTCCACAGTACTGAATGTATGTAAGTCGCTTTGGATAAAAGCGTCTAACAAGTAACATGTAATGTAGAAAAGCTAGTGCTGTGTGTTTACCTTGTACCAGATGATGGAGGTCTCCAGGGAGGACAGAGCGTTGCAGGTCGCAGTCAGATCTTCTCCTCTCAGCATCACCTCTGATTCTTTAGGAACAACAACCGCCGGGTCCAAGTCTGAGGACAAAGACACGAGACAAGATTAAAGGAGCAGTTCTTCTGAGATGATATCAAGTTTACAAATTAAGAACGTCTGTTATGTAGAGTCCTCCACCTAGGATTCCTTTCCTCAAGTCTTCCAGAGTAGTTTTTATTTGGATACTTCCTACTAATGCAGAGTTTCTTTTTTATCTGAAACATACACTTGGTATGGTCTCAGCCATATCAATCAATCATCATTTGTTCATCACTCTAACAGCAAGTACAATTGTCCAGCTTCTAGTACAGACCTGGGATGTTAGCTTAGCATAAAGACAGGAGGCAAAGGGTAGTATCGGAATAATCTGTAAAATGGGTTCCTGACTGTGGGTTTCACGTGAACGCCCCTCGAAATATAACAAGTAACACGTTTTTTTAATGCTTTGAGCAATAAAATACTTTCTTTCCTTCAATACCCAATTTTAACCCCAGTTTAGTGGTCTGTAAAGTGAGATGTTCAAATTCTGTATCAGTCATTTTAAATTCAAGCGTCCATGTTGGTTGCACACTCTGACTTCCCAACCCAGAGAAGAGAACATCTGAGGAGCACCTGAATGCACCATCCATCTTTGTAGTTCACATGTTGTATCAGAAGACAATATTCTAATGACTTTTCT